TCCATTCGTTTGTTGATGGGCACTTGGGTTGTTTCCAACTCCTTGCTATTGTGAACAGAGCCGCAGTAAACATGGGTGTGCATATATCTGCTTGGATGTCAGTTATGGTCTCTTTAGTTTATTTATATTCCCAGTAGTGGAATTGATGGGTCAAATTGTATCTCTGTTTGCAACTTTTTGAGAAAGTGCCACACTGGTTTCCACAGTGGTTGCACCATTTTATGTTCAGCTTTTTGAGGAAGCGCCAAACTGCCTTCCAGAGTGGTTGTACCATTTTACAATCCCACCAACAATATGTAAGAGTTCATTTCTTGCCACATCCTCTCCCACATTTATTAATTGTTGCCCTGTTGAATTTTGCCACTGTAATGGAGTGAGATGATACCTCATTGTGGTTTTGATTAATATCTGCATCATTTTTATTTACAAAAAGTAATGCACTTCTATTAGAACATTTATATGCTGCTGTTTTATGTTAGGTTGAATATGAATTACAATGAGATCCTCTGCATGTTCAACAATATTGGGAAGATTGAATTTGAGGATTCCACAAAGTAAGTGTTTATACGAATGACAGCTGGCTTGATGAGTTAGTGGCTGGCCTGGCCCAAGAAATTTCATAAACAGAAAAGAGGATTTTTAGTGTGGTATGATTCAAACAATGAAAAATAATTTAGAGGGCTGAATAATTTCTATCAGATACGTTCTGCATATAATATTTAGCACAACATTTAAAATACTCAGGAGGAAATTCATATAAGATAATGTATTTGTCAGTTACCATTCAGATTTATTCAGACACTGCATATTGACTTTTATGCTCAGTACAGAATACCTAAATATACTAGATACTGTGATTTATGTTAAAGAACTTAAACCAAAGAAGTAAAAAAAGATAGATAAGCAATCAAGTGCTTTAATAGTAGTATATTCAAAATTTATTGAGTGAACAAAGGAATTTTCATTTCTTCTTGGTGGAATAGGAAATTTAAAAAGACATTTATAGGGAACTCTGGTGGCCTAATGGCAAGAAGCTGCACTGCAATCCCAGAGGTAGGCAGTTCGGTTCCACCAGATGCTGTGCTGGAAAAGGAGAGGCAGTCTCTTCCTGTACCAGTCAGATCCAATTTGATGGTACACACAAAAAAGAATAAAATAAAAAAGACATAACAGATTATTTTTATGTTCCCTTATCCTTGGAAAATGTGTAGCAGTTTGAGAGGAGGATAAAGGGGAGATGAGTATCTTAGCAGAAATTTGTATGAACAGTAGAATAGCATACTATATATTCAGTTAACTGTACATTTAATTTTAAATGGCAGGCTAGACTTTATAAGCAATGTAGAAACCTTATTTTCTAGACCAGTGATGGTTCAGTGTGGTGTGTTCTAACCACATGTAATTTAAATTTAGATATAAATTAAGCCAAGTCGTAGTATTGCCCTCAAGTGGAGTATGACTCCTAGCAACCCTATAAACAATAGATCGGAACCCTGTCCTGTCCTTTGCCAACCTCACAATCTCTTGACACACTCAAGCCCATTGCTGTAGTCACTGTGTCAGTCCACCTGGTTGAGGATCTTCTGCCCTTTCACCATCCCTCCACCTTTCCAAGCATGATATTCGTCTCCAAGGACTAGCCTCTCCTGGCAACATATCAGAAATATGAGACAAAGCTTTGTCATCCTTACTTCCAATGAGCAATCTTGACTTCACCTTCTCTGAAACATCTGTTTGTTCTTTTGGCAGTCTATGGGATATTCAGTACTCTTCTCCAACACTACAACTCAGAGGCATCGATTTTTCTTCTGTCATCCTTATTCAGTGTCCAGCTTTCAGATGCATAGGAAGTTGTTTTAAAAGACCATGGTTTCATACTGAAGATTATTGATGAGGCTTCCTCCAATCTTGATGCTACATTCCTCTTCATTAAGTCCAGCTTTTCGAACAGTTTGCTCAGCATACAGATTGAGTAGGCTTGGGGAAGTGATACTGCCTTGATGCATAACATTTATTTATTTTGAACCATGTAGTTTCTTGATGTAGGTATAGGTTTTGCATGAACATCATGAAGAGTTCTACGATTGCCATTCTTCTCAGTGTTAGCCATAACTTCTTGTGATCCACACAGATACCTTTGCATAGTCAAAAACGAACAAATAGACACATTCTTCTGCTATTCTCTTCACTCGTCCAGAATCCATCTGACATTGGCAATAATAATCCCTAGTGCCACAACTTCTTTTTAAATCCGGCTTGAACTTTTGGCAGTTCCCTCTCTATGTATTTTGCTGGATGTCGTTGAATCTTCTCCAGAAATATTTTCCTTGCATGTGATAGTTATGATACTGTTTGATAATTTCCACATTATTTTGGATGACCTTTCCTGAGGGATGCTAGGGGTAAAATCTTTAATGATCCAGGAATCATCCAAAGATTGATGCACAGAAGGATTGCACAGAATCACTTTTTTTGCCAGGTCCTTCAGAGCAGCCTGAACTTCTCCTTCATCACCATTGCCTCTTGCTCATGTTGCTTGAAATTCTTCTGTGTCAGCCAATTCATTTTGGTAAAGTGACTCTAGACTCCTTGCATTTGCTTTTAGCGCTTCTGGAATCATTCCGTATTCTCTCCATAGCAACCTTATGCATTGCCACTTGTAGCTTGAATTTATTCTTTAGTTCTTTAATCCATGAGGTCTGGTTGGCTGAATGCATAGTTTAGCTCTTCTCTGTCTTTAAGTTTCTTTTGAATTGACCTGTCCTTTGGTGAGAGTGATTGTTGAAGTCTCCTACCACTGTTGTGCAAAATGCAAAAATGCATTTTTATGCATTTCTGTTCTTTCCAGTAATGGTTGGCTGTACCCTTTCTATCTTGTGATTTTTTTTTAAAGTTCTTATACCTCTTTATCTATAGTGTCAATTCTTCTATTTTTGTGTTTGTGTTTTCTTCCATAGTTGTACAAGTTCCTCTTCATCAGTATATTTCTTCTGGCTCCCTGTCTTCTAGAGTATTTGCTTCCTTAATGGCTTCCATTATTTCTTCCATCATTTGAACCTTTCTCTGTAGTTGTTCAAGTAGGTCTGCATCAGTATATTTCTTCTGATTCTCTACCTGTAAGGTATTCCTTTTAGTTGTAACTTCTGTTGTTTCTTCCATTATTTGTACTTCTTTTGGAGCTGTTCAGATTCCTCTGTATCAAATACATCTTCTGCCTTCTTGACCCTGGGGTATTCATTGGGTCTTCAGTATTTTCTGCTTTTTTTTTTTTTAGAAGGTTTGATTTGTCTTGCAGTGTTTCAAGCTGCCGGCTGCTTTCTTTATCTTACATGAAATTTTTCTTGATAAATGTTAGGCCGTCTCTGTTGTGTCTGCCTAAGTTGTCAGTAGTTCTTACCTTTTTGAGTTATGGATCAGCTGCCAGTTTAAAATGTTTATGTGTAACGTGAGCCACTGACTGTACTCAAGTCCTTTCTGGGAAGATACGCCTTTCCTGACGTCCTTCAGGTTCTCTCTGGTCTGCACTGCGTCCTTGCAGGAATCTCACCATTAAGTAGTCCCCACTCCCAGACTCTGTTCTTCATCTGTGGAGTGGCTGAGTGGTGAAAGACCACGTGCTCCACTTGAGTGGTTTCTGTCCAGAGGGGTTTCAAGTCCACTCTCTTCCTCACAGCTCAGCGTGCCAGCTGAGAAAGTCTTTCCCCTGTTTGTTGCTCTGTGTCTCAAACTCTTTTGTCATCTTTGGCACCTGGGATGGCCGCAGCTGCAGAAGCAAGGATCCCCAAATGAAGGGACTTTTCCCCACGGAAGTTTCAGTCCCCTCTCTCCCTGCCTGCACCTGAAAGTGCTGAATCTTAGGAATACTGTCTCACCTGATGGCACTTTCTCTCCTGAAGCCTAATGTCTTCCTTTGTCTCTGGAGTGGCATGACATCAAGGGCACCAGCTTTAAGCAGTTTGCGTGTGGCAAGGGGATCTCAGGTCAGCTCTCTTTGTTGCAGAAATCTGAGGAAGTAACTTATATTAGAGGCTGTAGTAAGTGTTTCAAGTCTCTTCAGAAAACAAGATGATAAATTAGGGAGGGGGAAGAGCCAAAACTGAGAGAACAAAAGGAAGGAGAATCAGAATAGAAAGACAAAAATAAAGTTAAAAAAAAAGGACAAAAACCTGGGGAGAGAAAATACTCAAAAGGGAAAGGGAAAAGGTAAGATGAAAAAAGCACAAGATGCCGATGAACAAGTGTAAGAACAGAAGAAAATCAAAGATGCAAACAGGAATCTGAAAAGCAATAGAAAAGAACTGAGACAGGGAGAAGGAGGGACTTAGGAGTGGAGGAGTGGGGTACCTGATTGGTGCTTTAGTCTCTGCGGTGGTGGGTGGAACATGATGTCTGGCCTGGGCCAGTGTACTTGTCCCTCCAGATGCAGGATGGAGTTGGGTTAAGCTGTCAGGTCAGAGATTATGCTCTTCCCAGAGTTGTCTGAGGCCAGAAAACGTGAGCCAGGTAACACCTCTTCCAATCTAGGAGCCATTGAAGGGTGGGACACCAAGCTTGGCATGGAGTCACTGCTGGCCTCAGAGAAGTCTTCCTATCAAAAGCTCATAGTTTGCCAGTATGTGGGGGATGGATGCAAGCAAGAGAGCTGGTTCAAGATGGCTAGTGTGAAGAGGTAGTCACTGCCAACTTGAAATGTCCACTGATGGTGCGCTTCAGTGAGTGTGCACTCTTTCAGATGTGACCAGGTGAGCTCTGCACAGGAGTGCCCACTGAGAGATAAGGACCCCTGTCAGAGGTGGTATTTCTGCTAATCCAGGGACTTACTGCACCCCAGTTACAGCACAAACACCTGCCAGAGTGAGTCTCTCTGTGCAGATTCATGCCCACTTTCCCAGTGCTGGATGTAAACTAGCATGGATCTGACCACAGGAAGAGCTAGGAGGAGCCAGGGTGTGGGAGAGATGCTTCCCTTGGTTTTTTGGAGGGCATAGAGGACAGCGCATTGATGGCAGCTTTCCCAAAGTCAGCCCTCTGCTGGAGTCCACACCCCAACAGACAGGAGCCCCCTGCCAGCCAGACAGCTGCAATGAGCTCTTTACAGCTGTGTGCTCCGTATGTCACTTTTTTGGTTTTCATTTCGTTTTCTTGACTTAATGTTTAAACTACTTCTTCGTCTTTTCATTTGAAACTAAGAAGTCTAGAATTAATCTGAGTATTTTTTTGTTTTCTTGTTGTTTTCATCGAAGAGTGTGAACTACCATTTGTCCTGTCTACCATCTTACCCAGAAGTCCTCAGTGACTAGACTTCTTTTGATGTTTTAAAACTCTGGGATTTGCTTGAGGTGGGGGATAAACGGATTTAGGTGGGATGAGCAGAGCGATAGAAATATTCTAAGGTGCAGTTATTAGTGATGCTTGCACAGCTCTAGACTTAGTAAAAAATATTGAATGTTAGGATTTGTACAGTTAACTACGAAGTAGCCCTCGGGGCACCTGGACAGCTTTATCCCTCCTGTGTGAGCCACAAGACTAGCTGTAATAGGGTAAGGAAATGGCCCAAAGCGAAATTTGAAGAATTTATACGATGAGTTAGTCATGTGAAAACTCCTATATTTTTCACCAGATCCTATCCCCAAGAAGATGAAATTGGACAGAATATTCAAAAGAATTACAATAAAAAAAAGGAGTCCTTTTCTCATAAAACATACCTACCACCAGACAAGAAAAAGTTTCGTAAACCTGGCCTGACCAATGAAGCACCACAAACCTCTTTGCACCATGACACCAGTGTGCATTTAGAAGCAAAGAGCTGCTTGCCAAAGAAGGAAGTCACCAAAACCATTGCCGCTCTACCACAGATGGGGTCTAGTCCTGATGTGATCATTGAAGAAATTATTGAAGAGAACCTGGAAAGTGAGTGAAAATCATAAAAGCAGAAAACCAAAACAGAACACCCAACTTGTTCATTTTCTGTAATTCTAAACAGTTTGTACGTTTTTGTCCCTGTACTTAAAAATATTGCTGTTCCAATCTTACATTTTATTATAAACAAAAACCTGTTGATTCTGTGCCCTTAATGTTCACTTTTTTCAAAGATATAACTTATTTTTAATGATGTAGTGTAGCTCACCTCTGAGGTGTGTTTTAAGAGTTAGTTTAATTAGGGTATTTGCCTTTTGAGTGTTATAAACCTTATATAAGAGTTGTATGTGTAAATAAACTGAAGATGTCAGAATCAGTTTCATTCCTTCGTCCTTGAATTTAAGAATAACTTTAGTTCTTTGTTCAGAGCTTTAATCTAGTAGGAAGTTATCTATTAGGAATATAATACTTGTTTTACAGCATTTGGTTGGATCATTTGTTTGATTAGCTTTCCAATGTTGATGTTTCTCCATTAGCACTGGAGTGAGATACTACTGAATACAGCTTTATGCCACAAGTCTTCATCAGGGCCCTTTTCAGTGCGGCTTGTGTTTTTCTCACTACTACTTTGTCTTAAGGGCTGACTCTTAACGTTGTCATTTTATCTACAGAAAAAGTACACAGAGTTGATGCCCCTCCCCCCATTTTCACTGTATTACCACTGGTAAACAGTGAATTAAGATAATTTATGAATTCTAATAATAACTGTCTTGCTGTCTGAGAATTTTGCCATTGCAGGTACAGCTTTTTGATCAAAACTGTGCCATTGTCAACATTAACAAAATGAGTACAGTTGCCTTTATTTCTTATTTTGATGAAGCGTGCTTTACAGATAATCTTGTGGAGACACCTACATACCAAAAAAAGCCTCCTCAGGATTCGGCAGCAGCTGCTTGTGGACCCAACGCAGGTACGTTAGCAGGTGTCTGAGCTTAATAGAGTGGACTTTGCTCTTAGTACAGGAACTCATCCAGTGTGAAACAGTGAGTAAATAGAATTTTATTGGTAATACTTTTATCTTTTAATTTTAACAGTTTTCAGTAAAAATATTTCTGAATTTATAAGTGATGCTCTCAAGTGTCTCCCTAGTTATCCATACTTACCTTTTTTAACCATATCTTCAATATGAGTTTTGTTTTTACCGTTTTTTTTAATCTGATGTATTAAAATTACCCAGTTTCCGTAATCTATTAAACTTGCTATTTCCAATAGCGTTCCTCCTGCTCTTTGTTTTTTGTTGTTTTTTTTTTTTAAAAAAAGCAATTGACTTTTTTCTTTTATTTTATTATTTTTGTGTGAGTGTACCGTCAAATCAGATCTGACTGGTACAGGAGGAGATTGTCTCTCCCGGCAGAGCATCTGGTGGATTTGAACCGTGCTGCGCTTCTGGGATTGTAGTTGCAGCTCCTTGCCGCTAGGCCACCAGAGCTCCCCTCTGCTCTTTGTTTTAAAGCATTCATACTGTCGTCATTGTGCAGGATAGATAAGAGTACTCTGTGAACCTTCTCTTCACATTCTGCTCCTGGATTCCGCTCAGTCTTTCCCTCCATTTTAATTTCTTCATGCTGTAAAAACACAATAAAATACACATTTTTCTAACCTTCCTCTGTTGTTGTTTTGCCAAAATATAGTATACTATACACATTTTTCAATTCTTTGCTATTCTCCCTTGATATAATTTAGAAGTCTTTTTATATCAATTGCTGTTTTTGTAACATACTGACCCTTTGAACAATAGATCTGAATCTTGTCCTATGCTGAACTGTCCTCATTATTTCTGACATACTCGATCCCATTGCTGCAGTCACTCTATCAATCATTTTCACTCTTTCACTGACCCTCCACCTTTCCAAGCATGATGTCCCTGTCAAAGGCATCATCTCTCTTAACATTAGCCCAAAATATGTAAAACAAAATTTCATTTCCTCTGAGGAGCTCTTTGGCTGTGCTTGATCTAAGATGTAACTGTTCTTTTGTCAGTCTCTGGAATATTCTGTTCTCTTCAACACCATAACTCAAAAGCATCAATTCTTCTTCTGTCTTCCCTATCCATTGCCCAGTTCTCAGAGGCATAGCAGGTGATTGGAAAGACCGTAGCTTGAGTCAGGTGCACTGTAGTATTTATTTAAAGTGACATCATTGCTCTTCAAGACTTTGTAGAGTTCCTTACAGCTGGCTTTCCCACTGCCATGTTTTTGTTGTTAGGTGCTGTCAAATTGAGTAAGACTCATTGCAACCCTATTAAACAACAGATCTGAACCCTGTTCTATCCTGTGCCACTGTCATGATCTCCAGCACCCACAAGCCCACTGCTGCACTGTGCCAATCCACCTGGTGGAGGGGCTTCCTCGCCTTCGCAGTCCCTCCACCTTTCCATGTGAGACGAAGCTTCATCATCCTTCCCTCCAAGGATCACTCTGGCTGCACCTTCTCCAAGGCATTTCTGTTCTTTTGACAGTCCGTGGGATAATCAGCATTCTTCTCCAACAGCATAATTCAAACACCTCAGTTCTTCAGTTAACTTTCGTCATTGTCCTTCTGAATATATGAAGTTACTTTTTAAAAAACCTTTACCGCATTCCCACGGCCATTAAAACACACAGCGCCTCTCCTAGATTTCACTTAATACTTTTATTTTCCCCTTTTCACAACTAATAGGGAACTCTAGTGACCTAATGATGAGAAGCTGCACAGCCAACCCAAAGGCATGTGGTTCAAATCCACCAGCTGCTCTAGAGCCAAAACACGAACAGTCTCCTCTTTTATGATTTACACCCTCTGATAACCCGCTGGAGAGTCAGTCATGAGTGGGTGCTAACTAGACAGTGCACAGCAGCAGCAGACCTGATAAGTAAGACTTGACAGTGAAGATGACTGAGCTAATTATAAATTCTTGAGACATAGAATAGATTAAATAGGTTTAATGGGCTATACTAGAATAATCACCGTCACTGAGGCTCTCTTCTAAATGTGTTTATAAATAAGTGAAATTTCTCCATAGAGGACAGTTGGCAACATCTACTCTGCCGTCACAATCTGTTTACCGCAGGAACTGACAGGCATTGTCCAGATGAAATAAAGTATTTTCATTTTATGTTGTGAAAGCAGTGAATTCTTGAGGGCGATAATTTGTCTTAACACTTGAGTTACCATTTTTGGCTTGAAAGATTTCACAGAGCCTCAGAGTTTGCCGTACTCTTAAGACATCCATTAATTGTTTTACAGGATAGTGTTTCCATTTTTGTGGATTCTTTTTTAATGTGTTACTTGTTAATTTTGTTTAAATGCTTATTCTTATTCAGGTTCTCCAGAGCTTGTGATGGTAAGCCATGTAATACACCCTTGCCACTTCTATGTTCGGAAGTATTCACAAATAAAAGATGCAACACTGTTGGAAAAGAAGGTGAATCAAATTTGCAACAAGAGTTCACATCTTAATCCTTCAGATATTTTGGAGCTAGGTAATGAATTATTTACTCCAGGTTAAAATACATTTTTGAAATAACAGAATGTCTGCCCAGGCCACATTAAACTTACATGATACAGGTAATCAGAAAAGTTCTGAAATGTATTTTACAAAAGTTTTAAAATTAGATAACAAATTTTATTTTTAGTAAATTAGCTAATGGTTAAAATGAACCTTGGAACCTTTATAGAGTTACTTAGAGATACACAAACTTCACTATGAAGTGAGGCAAATTATTTTTAAAATTATAAAAACTATGACTATTCCCTCTGTGTTCAGAGAGACCTTTGCCCTCTAAGATGATACACCATAGCTTGATTCCCATCTCTTGCCCTTCCCATGTGGTGTTAAGAGCACTGAATGCTTAAATTATACTTAAGAAGACCATCACCTTTCAGCTAGCCTGTTTTATTAGCATATACAGAAAGGATTATATAGTTTCTGTTCTTATTTAATTACTGATAATAATCAAATTTATCTCTACAACAACATCTCTAGTGTACAAGTTAGTTGTTAAAAGTGCAGGCTCTCAAACTTCTGTACTTTCTTGAGAGCTATTCTAATTCCACTTTGTGGTTTGGGCTAGGATTTCAACCTCTTTTTTGCTTCAGTGTTCTTGACACAATTCTCTTCCTTACTCAGTCCTCCTCCTCTTTTCCTGATGACTCATTTTAATTAATTTCATTCTATATAATCCATCCATAAGGCCTTCAATATTTTTTTAAGTGCCATTGCGTTGTGGACAACTCATAGTGACCTTATGAACAAAAGACATGGACACTTTTATAACTTTCATCGTTTCTCCAAGTTCATAGAGTTTCTGGAGGCAAGCTATTTCAGAAGTAGATGCCACTCTTGCTTCCAGGCTGTGTTAATCAGAGAGCTCCACCAAACACTGTCCACCATGGGTAGCCATTATCGCATTTAACATATCTGTGTCACAGTGTTTAGTAACACAGCAACCACGAGTTACCTCTGTACAGCAAATGGACAGACCAATGCTCTACCACTTCATACATAGCTAAATTTCTTAGTTCATGTCCCTATTTTCTGAAATCCAGTATGTATGAATTAATTTTGGCATTTGACATTCTGCCTTTTGTTTCTTTACCGTGACATTGTAACCTCCTTTATGGCACTGCAGTATTGGACCAGGTTAAGTATTGCTCTGTCTGGACATGTGTGCACGTACATGAATATAGACGGCCTTTATTGTAGCGGTTGGCTTCCATACAGAGTTAACGCCTGGGAAAACCTGTGGGGCAGTTCTACTCTGTCCGGGGGTCACTATCAATTTGAATCAGTTCAGTGGCAAAGCGTTCTTGGGTTTTTGTTAGTAGAACTTACGTCATGAACGTATTTGTAAACATAAGTGCTTATTAAGTATTTCTCTCCATAAACAGTGATAATGGTCTGTCTCATTCCATAGGTGCAAAAATACTTGTCAAGAGTATTGAAAATGGAATGTGGTGTCGAGGAACTATCACTGAATTAATTCCAATAGAAAGTAAAAACATTAGAAAGCCTGGTGGTCCAACCAAGTACTCCGTCTGTGAAGTTGCACTAATACAAATATTTATGGTCGATTTTGGAAATTCTGAAGTCTTAATTGTTCAAGGGTAGATATTTCATAATTACTCTATGTTTTAACTGGCTTAGAAGCAATTTCATACAGCGGGGCAACATTTTCTTCTAGGTGTCCTTTTTGACCTCTTAACAGGGTAGAGGTCCAGAACTCTGGACTGGACTGTGTGCAGGGTTATAGGGATCCGAGCCTAAATTCCCGGAGTCCTCAGCTCCGGGCCCCTGAATCCCACTCTTAGATCACCACAACCTGTTCAACCGCCTTCATAAACCCGGATATTTAACCCTTGAATTTCCAGATCTTGGCCTGTATAAAATAACTCTTTAATCACCTTTGTGAACAAACTTGGCTCAGCCCATACTACAAATGTGAGATTAGAAGGCCGATTAGGCACCAAAAAAAAAAAAGAAGCAATTTCAGAGAGTGGTTAACAGTAAAGAAAATTAGGAAGATGTAGAGAAACGTGATTTATTTATTTTTCTCTTCCTAGCCATACCTTTTTTATTATTCTATTTTTATCACTTAATTAGTAAAATATTACAGTTTATCAATAATACACATTCTTCACATAGCTTTTTTTAATCATAGGAGCTTTTTAATGCACTTCAAACTTAGTACCTTTTTATGAAGCAAGAAGTTATGCATAGTAACAGTTCTTTGAAGTATAATATGCAAGTTAGGTGAAGGGTTATTGACTTGCATTTTTAATTAAAGAATATTTGTCAATAGTATTAAAAATGTAGTGCCAAGGAGCTATCTTAATTCCAGTAGGAAAAAAGACACTAGAAAAACAGGTATATTTATAATTTTATAAATGAAGGTAAATTTGTCTTGCCTAAAAGTATTTAGCAGTGTTTTTCTGTCTTCTATGACACTAGAAAACAAGCCAAAAAGGCTTCTGTAATAAGGACAATAATACATTATAAAATAAAAAGATCTCTCTTGGAGGGGGCATCATCATTCCCATTAAATGTAAACTGAATTGGTATATGAAAAATAACTGGGATAAACGTAGTAGATATTTCATTCTGTTGTGACAGAAGGGTCTTGTGTTAATTGAAACTAATTTGAATCCCTAGGGAGCATTAGTGGGTCAGTGATAAGGAGTTGTATTATCAACTGAAAGGTAGGTGGTTCAAATCCACCAGCTACACTGCAGGAGAAAGATGGAAAATTTCCTTTCGGGTGATTTACAGCCTCTGAAAATCCAGTGAATAGACAGCTGTGAGTTGGTCCTGGCTTGAAGGCAACAAGTTGGAGTTTTGAGTTGAGTAGACAAAAGTGATTTTGTCCTCAGCTGATACTGTTAGAACCGGTAGTTCAGACCATCAGCATCACTAAAGAAAATACCTAACAGTTTGTTTCCATTAAGATTAAACCCCAGAAAAACCTGTGAAACAGTTGTAATGCTTGGAATGCATGAGTTATCAAAAGTAAGAATTGACCCAGTGGCAACTAACAGTAATAGTAAGGAAGTAACTGTTTACAATATAACTTTCTGGAAGATCTAAGGGAGAGTATCTTTAGAATTTATGCCTCTTCTGTGAAAGTCCAGCTTAGATATAAAGCACTGTTTTTACCAAATGCTACTGACTTTCTCCTAGGTTTGATGTTAGCCGTGTGAGGCTAGAACACATTGCTGAGCAGCACGTAGTACTTAGTAACCTGGGTGTCGTTCTAAGAAAACCTGAATCCTGTGTTGAAGAGCTGCTGAAAGACATCCAGCCATTTGCACAGCTGTGCTCCTTGAAAGATATTGTTCCACCAAGTTCAGTAAGTATGACTTTGCTTTGGCCTCTAAATACTCTGAGTATAGTATGTATGTTGCACGTTTATACTCAGAGCAGCACATTTTACATAGTATGTTTCTGGTGATAGTAAAAAGAAAAGAATTTAGCTCCACATTGGAAATATTCTCAGCATGGACATTAAATAACTAGATAGCAACATAATTGGTATGTGAAATATCCAAATGAACCACTAAATTTTTAATAAGTTTTCCTTTTTTTTTTCTGTTGTGCTTTGAGTGAAAGTTAACCTAACAGTTGGGCAACCAACCCAAAGGCACATGGTTCTGATCCACCAATTGCCCCACAAGAGAAAGATGGGCAGTCTTCTGCTGTGTGATTTACAGCCTCTGAAAATCACTCGAGGGTCAGTTATGAGTTGGTTCCAGCTTGATAGCACCTACCACCACCAGCAGCAGTATAACAATACACTTGCTTTCTGTTTCCTCATTCATCTTTCTGTCCTTTCCTGCTTCTAAACTTTCTTCCTTGGAAAATATTGCCCTTTTGATCTAATATGATTGACATTTGTAAGAAAATAATAAGCAATTATCTCCTCTTCTGACTGAAGCCATATGGCTGAGTTTAATTCCAGGGTCATAGGATTCCTCAGGGCCATAGTCTTGGTGGGGGACAGTGTGTCCCATCTGTCTCCATTAGACTGGTAATCCTGGTCATGGAATGGTTTTTTAATTTCATTCCACATTTCTCTCCTGCTCTGTCCAGCACACTCTGCTGTGATCCCTTTTAAAGCAGTGAGCAGTGGTAGCTGGACAATGTTTAACTCTTCTAGCCTCAGGATTTTGGATGATGACGTTTCTGTGACCCATTAGTCCTGCGGAAGAATTGTTCCTATGCGTCTTTCATCTCTTCCATATTCTTCCTTGTTCTGGACAGGTAGAGACCAATAGTTGTACCTCAGATGGTCGTTCCCAGGGTTTGGGCTTGGGGTGGTTTTTATTTTATACTGGTTTGATCACAGAGTTCATATACATTGTTCTTTACACCAGATAATTCCCATTTCCTTTATAACCCCTCCCTCTACCCATCACATTGTGTGACCCTGTGATTGTCACCCTGCCCATCCTCACCCCTCTGCTTGACAAATGCTGCAATACTGCGTAATGCCACTGTTAATAAATGGGAAATGCTTTTAGTCTTTCTCCATTGAGAATGATACTTGCTCTTGATTTCGTATATTCTTTTCACTATGTTGAAGAAATTCTCTTCTATTCCTGTTTTGCTACGTGTTTTAATCAGGAAGGGTCAAAGGCCTTTTCTGCATCAATTGTTAGGATCATGTAGTTCTTACTTACTTTGTTAATGTGATGAATTATTTGATTTAGAATGTTGATTGTTTTGCTTACATTGAACCATCCTTGCATACCTGTTATGAATCCCACTTGCTCCTGGGGTTTTTTTGGTAATATCCTTGCCTAGTTTTGGTATTAGGGTTCTGCTTGCTTCATAGAATGACTCTGGAATTGTTCCTTCTTTTTCCGTTTTTTTAAATACTTTAAGTAGAATTGGTGCTAGATCTTCTCTGAATATTGGTAGAATTCAGCGGTGAAGCCATCTGATCCGGTACTTTTCTTATGGGGAAGTCATTTTAATGACTTGTTCGAGGTCTTGTTTTGTGTCTGTTTAAGTGTCCGGGTCAATCTCTTCAGGGCATGAGTATCGAAAAATTTATCCATTTCTTCTAGGTTTTCAAATTTACAGCTTTTCATAGTATTCTGATAGTATCAGATTTATTTTATCTGGTTTTGTTGCGATTTTACTTCCATCATTTCTTAATCAAGTTACCTGTGTCTTCTCTTTTTTCCTTAAGTTTGCCAGTGGTTTGTCAGTTTTATTGACCCTTTCGAAAAACTGGCTCCTGATCTTATGATGGTTTCAGTTTTCTGTTTTTTTTTTAAAAAAATTAATAAAAGGTTACAGAAACTTTGGATTTCCATTCATTCACCCATTTTTAATAATATTGCATGAGTTCCTTGTTTTTCAATGCAGCATAGTATTCCATTGTGTGAATATACCAGAGCTGCTCTATCCATTCGTTTGTTAATGGGCACTTGTGTTGTTTCCAACTCTTTGCTCTTGTGAACAAAGCTGCAATAAACATGGGTGTGCTTATATCTGCTTAGTTGGCAGTTCTAGTTTCTTTTAGGGTGTAGTACCACTGGTGGAATTGCTGGGTCAAATGGTATTTCTATTTCCAACTTTTTGAGAAAGCAGCATACTACCTTTCATAATGGTTGCACCAGTTTTCTGTCTCATTGATTTCAGCTCTTATAATTTCCCTTCTTCTAGGTGCTTTAGGATTAGATTGTTGTTGTTGTTTTTCTGTATGGTGAAAGTATTGAGTTAGATCGCTGAATTTCCTTCATTTTTCCTTTTTTATGTGTGTGTCTGTTGCTATGACCTGCCCACTGAAGACTGCCTTAACTGCATCCCAGAGGTTTTTAACTCAATAACATACTAGCAGAGAGTTATTTAGCTTCCATATAGGTGGTTTCGTAAGCTTTGCCCTCATGTGGGTTTATGGCATTGTGGTCTAAAAAAGATACTTTTGTTTTATTTCACAGTTTTTAATTCATTGAGGCATACTTGTGTCCTAATTCATGATCGAGTCTGGAGAATGTACCATGTGCACTTGAGAAAAAAGTTAATTGAGTTTTAGTTGAGTTCAGTACCCTGATTGGCTGATTGTATAGATCTTCTGCATCTTTGTTGAATTTCTTTTGGGTTGACTTAACTTTTGGTTATAGTGGTGTGCTGAAGTCTCCTGCCACTATTGTCATGCTGTCTGTTTATTTCTTCAATTCTGTTAACCATTGTTTTATATATTTTGCAGGTCTGTCATTTAGTACATAAATGTTGATAAAGGTTATGTCTTCTTGATCTATTGTGCCTTTAATCAGTATGTAATACCTCTCCTTCTCTTTGATGGTGGTTTTCATTTTGAAGTCTATTTTATCAGAGGTTAGTATAGTCACTCCTGCTTGTTTGTGGATGCCATTTGCTTGGTATATTTTTGCACCCAGCATTTTAAGACCTCAGTCACTGCTCACCAAAGTAAGATCTGGGACATTGTATTTGCAGACTCTGATAGGCCATTTGTGTTTTATGTCCCCAACAATATAATCTTGAGTCCCTAAAAGTAGCCATTCATTTCCTCAGGATGTTTAAACTATTAAATTTTGGAGTCAAATAAATGTATAGAGAGAAATAAACTTAATATATGGTGTTTTGTATGTTTTTGTATATTCCTTCTTTACCTTAATGACACTTTTTACATTACACGGAAGTCTTGGTGGCCTAGTCTGTAGCTAATGGAAGGTTGCACCTGTCTGACAGTTCACATCCTCTCATGGGCCAGTGGGAGAAGGATGGCAGCCTCATCCCAGTCAGTTCACTGCCTTGCAAGCCCTCTAGAGGGTGAGCTGAGCTGAGCTGTACAGCCTTGTGACCCCACTGGAGGGTCAGCTGAGTCCGATCCCAGTAAGTGGCATTGGGTTTGAGAATTTTTGTTCATTACTTGACTTATTAATCTATACTGCATTCTGTCTTGGATCATTTATTAATATCCTTCCTTCAGCAAATTTAAAACCCCCTAGGATGCAATAATTGTGTATAAGAATATATGTTAAGCTACTATAATGAAAATATTTCCAAAAGCAAGAAGGAGCCCTGGTGGCATAGTGTGTAAAATGTCATCTCATTGCCATAAATTCCAGACAGACTCAAAGTTGACCCTTCAGCAACTTTTTCTCAGAAACTATAAATCACACAAGAGGAGATTGCCCATCTTTCTCCTATGGAGCAGCTGGTGGATTTGAACTACTTTCCTTTGAGTTAGTAGTGCAAGTCTTTACCCATTAGGCCACTAGAGCTCCCTAAAGTAAAATATAGAACTGTTAAACAAAAGATTATGAGTTTGAAACCACAATTTCTCTGTGGGAGAAAGATGAGCAGTCTCCTGTCATGAAGATTTACACCCTTGGAATCCTTATGGAGAATCACTGTCAGTCTAAACCATCTCAGCTGTAGTTGGGTATGGAAGCAGGGAGCCTGCAGCCTCAAAGAATTGGCAGTACTTAACAATCAAAGCCTCTGAGCTGTGCTGTTGGAGAAGAATACCAAATGTCCCACTAGACCACCAGAAGAAGAAACAGATCTTGGATAAAGATCAGCCAGAGTGCTCCTTAAGGCAAGGGCGGGGAAGCTTCAGCTCAGCGTTTTATTTGGCATGTTGTTGAAAAGGAGCTCTTACTTGGAAAAGGACGTTGTGCTTTTAAAGGTGGAATATCAGTGAAAGAGGGGAAGACCCTCAATGAGATGAATTGACATGGTGATGGCAGTAGTGAGCTCATGTATATCAGAGATGATGAGGGTGGCATAGCATAGGACAAAGTTCACATCTGTTGTTCATAGGGCCACTGTGAACTGTACTCAGCTCAGTGACCCATAACAGCTGCAGTAGACATTCAGCCAAGTATTTGAAAGATTCAGTGAATGAATAAAACATTAGAAGGAAATACATACAAATCTTCTTAATCTGTGGTAGTTGTTTCAAGAAGCTGGGATTGTTTTTAAAAATTTTTACTGCAATTTTTTTTAAGTGCTCTAAGTGATGCAGCATTGCTTGGTGGGTTTGGACCCACCAACTGATTGACAAGAAAAAAGATTTTGTAATCATAGCTTTGGAAATCCTATGAGTCAGTTCTTCCATGTCCTGTAGGATCACTCTGAGTCTAATTCAAAAGAACATGTAGCAACATATGTTTTTGTATTTTCTGAGCTGAATAGGATTTACTTTTACAATCCTATAAATATGAGAGGCATTGTGTTTCATACTCAAGGTCTGTGTATTACCTTTGAAATCTGAGCTAAATAGTTTAACTTTTAAAAGGACTGATGTTTAAGTTATGTTTCTAATTTTTTAAAATTACATACTGCATATATTTCATATAAATAGAAGCTAGCTAAACTGTTAATATTTTCATATATTACATGCCTTTTGTTATACTTTAAGCATGTTGTTGTTTTGTGCCGTCGAGTTGCTTACAACTCATAGCAACCCTATGTACAGCAACCCTAAATCCTCCTCTGTCCTGTGCCAATTGCACTGCCTCCAGCACACCCATCCTGGTCACCCCAGTCACTGAATCAGTCCACCTCTTAGAGGGTCTTCCCCTCCTGCGCTGTCCCTCCACCCTACGAAGCGTGATGTCCTTCTCCAAGGACCGGTCCCTCCTTACAGTATGGCCAAAGTATGTCAGACGGAGCCCCAGAATCCTTGCCTCCACGGAGCAGCCCGGTTTAACCCTCTTCAGGATGAATCTGTTTTCTTAGCAGTCCATGGTACACTCAATACTATTCTCCAGAACCATAAAGGCATTGATGCTGAAAGGCATCAATTCTCCTTCATCCTCCCTAGTCATTGTCCAACTCTCTGATGCGTAACAAGTGATTGCAAAGACCATAGCCTGTATCAGATGCACCTTAGTCTCCAGAGCGACACCATTGCTCTTCAGTACTTTGGAGAGGTAACTAACAGCAGACTTTCCTATGTACTTTAAGCATAGCTTTTTAATTTTTATCCATAAGTAGAAAACATGCCTATAATACTTGTTTCTTTTATTTAAAAATATTTTATAATTATTATTATATTAATATTGTAAAGTGAAATATGGGCTTCTGGGTACCCTGAGACTGTTTACAAAACTGAAATGTAAGTCGCTCATTGTGTGTTCATACAGACTGCCCTTGGATTTATAACCTCAGATATTTTCTTAATGCCTTGGTATCTGTGGTTTCTTCAGTGTCTTGGCTCAGTTTCGGACTGTGATTGATAGAAAGCTGACCTTAGGCAGCTGTGACAGAGCTGATTAGAATTATTAAATACCTTTGAATTTTACCTTTTTTTAATAGAATAAAAGCTGGGGAAAAGAAGCTAAAGTGGAATTTTTGAAAATGGTAAATAACAAGGCGGTTTTGATGAAAGTTTTTAGAGAAGAAGATGGTATTCTCATTGTAGACCTACAAAAACCACCAACAAATAAAATAAGCAGTGATATGCCAGTGTCTCTTAGAGATACATTAGTTTTTATGGAATTAGCAAGGTAGGTAACTTATTAAATATTTTTTATTGTAGTTATAAATTGGAATAGCAGATTTTTTCCTTTATAAAACTATCACCCCAAGAGGTTAAAAATACTTGTATCTGGGTGTACTAAGTACAATTTTTGCCTATATATATTGCATGCAAATAATATGGTTCAAGAAAGTAGAGAAATTGAGGTAGTGCAACATTGAAAATATTTATGGATATTTTTTACTCTTGGGAACGTCACATTGTAGAATTTAAGGAATTCCGTAGTTTCTGATTTGGATTTCTCCTCTTGAGAATGAGTTCATTATTACCATTCTATTCCTGAGGTATTGATCTAAAATAGATGCTTTAAAAAAATAAAAGAGATCATTTAAATCCTCACCCCCATTCTGAGGAACAGAGTGTGGTAAGTAAATAACCCAACCATCTAATTGGCTCCCTTGAGAAAAGACCAATACATTCTCTGTCCTGGAAATTCTCATCACTCAGCAGCCAATCAGAAAGTTGAGGTTTAACTCATTAAGTGCTTTGTAGGAGAAAGATGTGGAATTACTGTGATCAATCAAGTCTGACCCATAGCCACCCTGTGAAAACGGGCCTGAACCTGTCCTATCTATCCTGGGCCATCCTCCTCATCTCTGACACCATGAGCTGGTTGCTGCTGTCACCCTGTCATCCCACCTCGTTGAGGATCTTTCTCTCGCTCTCTCTCTTTTTTTTTTTGTTTGTTTTTAAGTCTTCCTCTCTTTTGCCAATGTTCCCTTTTTCCAGGTATGATACTTCTTTCCAAGGAATAGCCTCTCCTAGCAGCCTTGAAAAACATCTAAAGTTCAGCTGCTGTGTCTTATAGGGTCTCTTTGAGTTGTACTTGGCTCTACCGTGATAATATCCAGTTAGTTCATCTAAACTGTAGAATAGAAATAGGTGTGAATCTGACATACAGGCCTGGCTTTAAGATGTCCTAACACAGACTTGTCAGGAGTGCTCTGGTGGCGATGGATTTCATCTGCTCACCCAAAGGTGGCAGCTTTCTGGCATTTCAGCTCCACCAGCAGGAGGAATAATGGGAGATCTCCCTTGTCATTCACAGCCTCTGAAAACCTACTCCAGGCTCATTCTGAGTCAGTCCCTGCTCTACAGCAATGAAAGACAGGTTGTCTGGGGATTTGGTTTTGTTTCTGAGTAAACACAAACTTGAAGATTGATTTCATTTTGGGACTTGACATCTTACTTAGTCTTGATTGAGTAACTTAAAAAAATTTATTGTGGTCAAGTTGGGACAAACTCACCCAAGGAAACTGCCCATCTTTCTCCCATGGGGCAGGTGGTGAATCCAAACCACTTGCCTTTGAGTTCACTGTGCACGTTTTTACCCAGGAGGCTGCCAAAATATGTCTTAGTTAGAGACATTGGAAAGACCCTTTTTTTTTTTTTTTTTGTAGATAAGTCCGGATACAGGCAGGTTCTTTGTTCTGATAATTCAAGGAGAGAGATACTGAGAAAATGACTCTTAGAGCTGGATTGACTCTCTGATCCTCTCCAGAGCAGTGTATCTCCGTCGTGCTTACCCCCATCAGCGTGTCGCTGTTAAGTTGCCAGCAAACAGCAACACTTTTCATATTTGTTTTTCATTTACCCGATGGCACATAACAACAACATACTCTTTAGTGAGTTGTCCATTCAGAGATTCCTGGCTCTACTTGGGAACTTCTCTTGCATGCTCCCTCCACCTTCTCCGTAAGGCTATATTCCAAGTTACAGATTTCACCTTGAAGATCACATCTTGAATTTGGTTAATCTCTTCTCCTTTCTCTTCCCCTTCCCTGCCCCCATTAGCATGATTTTTAAAATCGTTGTTCTAAATTAATTGTTATTAATAATAACAAATCTTAAATGTAATAATAAATTTGAAATGCAATAAAAAATTACTCTTGATTATGCTTACTTACTCTTTTAATTAGGTTTAGATCTCAATCACTAAGAAGTCATCCTGAGGAAAATATTACATTACATTATAATCCACCTATTTTGCCTAAACAAATGACAGATGTATCGATAATGGTTTGTCATATAAATACTCCTACTGATTTCTACCTTCAATTGGTAAGTACATAGCATTCCTTGGAGATGATGTGATGAGTTTCTTTTTTGTTTTAAATAGAAATATATGATGATAATTAATACCCAGTACAGTTTAGTTGGAAAAAGCCACAGTTAACCTTCTGTACACCTAATTTTATATTGTTATATTGTAGTGAAAGTTGTATAAGATAGTATTTGTCATTATAACAATTTTTAGTTATATATAGTTCCATTACTTATATTAAAATACTTTTCATTAATTGCTCTCAAGCCAGAGTTCCTCTCCAGTGGCTTTTCAGAGACTAAATCACAAGGAAGGAGATTGTCCATCTTCCTCCCATGGAGCAACAAGTGAATTTGAACCCCAGCCTCTGGAATGACAGTTAAGCTCCTACCCACAGGGCCAAAAGATCTCCCTGTTGTGATTATATTGGCCAGAGTTTACATCCATCAACACTGCCCATGTCCCATACAGTAACACAGTTCCTTTTACTTAGTAACTCCCCTCCTTTAACCCTTAACACCCAGTGATAAACTTTGGTCTCTGGGCATTTTTCTGTTTTAGAAATGTCATGTCAAGGCAATCTTGTAATGTTTTCTTTTGCATTTTACTTGTTTTAGTGTTTTCAAAGCTGTAACAACAGAACTACCTTTTTCCGATTGAAGAATAACCCATTGTATAGAGTCTTAGCTATCTAGTACTGCTATAACACTATTACAAGTGGATGGCTTTAACAAATACAATCATTCTCTCACTTTTTAAGAGGTTGGAATCAAAGCCTTTCTCTGTTGTCTCTGGAGAAAAGACCTTATCTCCTTCAAACATCTGTTGAGCCAGCATTCTTTGAACATCTGCATGTGTCTTTGTTTTTCTCTGTATTGAAAAAGTTCCCAGTAGAGGGTCTTGGGTGTAAAAGATGCACTGTGCTCCCAACACTTCTTTCTTGGTGATCCTCTTTCTCTTCTATTCGCGTCTCCTGTCATAAAAGGGGTTACAGGCCATAAGGAGAACTTTCTTAGATCAAATCTGGGCTGTAATAAGGATTAAGGATGTTGTGTCTCACTTTTTTTACATTCATTCAGTAAAAAAATTGAAGTCAATGATTTCATTTTACTTGGACCTGGAATCAACACCCATGATAGCATCAGTGAAGAAATCAAAGACATGTTTGAGAGAGGAACAGTTATAATGTGAGAGTGGCCAAGTTTTACTTCTGCCCACATCAAAAAGGGAACTGTTCCATCAACAGTATTCATAGTACCAAAATAGCTACAAAATATTACAGAATAGCTACATGACACCTTCCATGTTCCTAACTTTTTCTACCAGTCATTGGATCCCCTGTTCATGCCACGACTCACAGAATATACTCATAGTTGTGGAGTTTATTAGGGGAATAATTTTATTAAAGACTGTAGGGGAAGCAAAGCATATCACACAGTGCAAGTCTAGGTTTAGTCCAGAAGTTCCAAGCCAGATTAACAAGGTACAATTCCTCAATTAGTGAAAAACAGCTGCTCAGTCAACCAGTGAAAGTGTGGGTTCATTTCAGTAGCACAAATGCAAGAAGCCTCTGGTTTCTTCAGTCATCCCGCATACTTTTTCTCAGAGCAGTTAAAAACTTTTTCTTCAGTCATCCAGCAAGCAAACCTTTAACTGAAGGCTTTATCTCCAGGCTTCCTCTGGTTACACCTTGCCACAGTCTCTTTACATCTCTCCACCACATTCTTTCACTGTCATTTCCTATATTGGCCCTACAGCTTTAGGTGTTTTGCTGTCAAGGTAGCTTGACCATGGCCCCTCCCCCCCCCCAAGGGGGCTAATACAATGGCTAGAAAAGCCAATTTTCAAGAGTTCTGAAACCTCAGGTTTGCACTGGGAAAATCTAGTGTCATAGACCTCTGTAATGTGTTAAAGAACAAGTCTATCAATTTAAAGTGTACCAGATCCAAGTTGTGGTTTTTCATTTGCTTCCTGTGCATCTGGAAGTTGTACAGTGAATGAATAAGAACAACAGAAGAAGAAGCTTTTGAATTGTGATGTTAGTAAAAAGTACTGAATATCTCATGGGCTCCCATGATGAAACTTCTTCATCTCCCGTGCTTTAGCCCTGTTTGTTAAGAGGGGCTACTCTTTGGAAAATGACATCATGTTGGGAAAGGTGGAGAGTGGAGAGTCAGAAAGAGGAAGACCCTCAAGATGGATTGACAGTGACTATTAACAGAGGGCTTAAGCATGTCAGGTCCGAGGATGGTGCAAAATAAGGCTTCATTCATATCTGCTGTTCATAGGTTGACTGCCACCTACTGTGAAGTGTCCTGGGTTTTTCTTGTTCGGAGGTTTTGGTTGCTAATGAATTGGCTTTTTATGAGTCTGTTATAGAGATTTAATTGATTTAAGTTTTGATAAGAATTTGTCCATTTCATCTATACAACTAATTTATTACTGTACAATATGTAAAATCCTCTTAATTTCTGTAGTCAGTAGTAAAATCTCCACTTTCCATGTCTTGTTTTAGTTATTTGCATCTTCTTTTTTTAGTTAGTTGATATGGTTTGTTGATTTTTTTTTTATTGATCTTTTAGAAACACCAACTTTTAGTTTTGATTTTTCTTTTCCTGTTTACTGTTCAGTTTGCCTCTTATCTTTGTTATTCCCTTTATTCTAAGATCTTTTTCAACATAGCTTTTGCTTGTTTCTCTGGTTCTAAATTTGTAAAGTTACCTTGTTATAGATCTTACTTTTGATAATATACTTTAGATCTTCTGAGTACTGCCTTCTCTGCATTATTTCTTTTGTTGAATTGTTAAATGTCCACTTTGACTAACCTTTTGATATAAGTGAAATCTACTCAGATATAAAAATTTACAAAGTTAAAAGCAAATTTATTACTATAGAATGAACATTCTTAAAGTGGTACAGCAGCCATTTGTCTGTTTGCTGTACTGAATAACTTGGAATTGCAAATCAGTGTGCCATAGCTGTGTCAGATGCCATGATGGTTATCCATCATGGACACTGTTTGGAGAAGCTTCTAGATTTATTTAAGTTTGGAAGCGGGAATGACATCTACTTCCTTAACTAGATGCCTCTAGAAACTCTATAAACATAAAGAAAAGACATTAATTATAGAACAGAGTTCAGGTCTTTTGTTCATTGAATGCTAACGGTTGTATTCAACTTGACAGTACTTAAGCTAATGTTGTTATATTTTGGAAGTTAATTCTTCTGCTTTGTACATAACTCCCTTGTCAATTTGCTGTACTGAGGTAATCTGGGTTTGCTGTGATATCGAACCTTGTGTCATTGGAGTTTGAAATACTCTAATGGTTTACCAATATGGACAGTGTTTGTTGGAGCTCCCAATTGTAGGACAGGTTTGGAAGCAGGCGTGGCATCTACTTCCTAAACCACATGCTTATGGAAACTATGATCTTAGAGAAACTGCAATAGTGACATTAGGTATGGGGCGCTCTGGTGGCCTAATGGCAAGAAGCTGCACTGTAATCCCAAAGGTATGTGGTTCAAATCCACTAGATGCTGTGCTGGAAAAGGAGGGGCAATATCCTCCTGTATCAGTCAGATCTCATTTGATGGTACACACACACAAAATAATAAAAAAAAGAAAGGCATTAGGTCTTTAGTTCATGGAGTTGCTATGAGTCATGCTCAAATCCATGTCAATCAACAACAACACATGTATCTCATGGTATCATTTTGGTAAAAATGAAAATATGCAAAGTATATGTATATAGGGAAAGGTCTAGGAAGAAATGCACTATGGTGTAGAAATATTTTTTATTATGCCTTCATATGCTAATTTCATACACTGCTTTTATAATAAAATAATTTTAAAATAAATAGCACAGGTAAGTCATGTGATTAGATCTAATAATATTCATATTTTTTAAATTTTTTTTATTTTATTATTTTTGTGTGAGTGTACCGTCAAATCAGATCTGACTGGTACAGGAGGAAATTGTTCCTCCTTCCCCGGCAGAGCATCTGGTGGATTCGAACTGTGCGCCTCTAGGATTGTAGTTGCAGCTCCTTGCCACTAGGCCACCAGAGCTCCCCTAGATCTAATAATATTCATATATTTTAAGTGCCTGTAACATATGCAGCATTTAAATTTTAAGATTCTGTACAAATGCTGTGCTCTCTTCCTTTATTTCTTAGGTAGAGAGCCTGGATTTTTTGTTTCTTTTAAAGACAATGGAGGAATTCTATAAACATGAAGATGGAGAAAATCTGCAAATCCTCTGTCCAGTTCAAGGTCAACCCTGTGTTGCTAAATTTGAAGATGGCATTTGGTACCGAGCAGAAGTTATTGGTAGGAAAATATACACTGTTTCTACAGGAAAATTTAATGCTAGAAGACTAGTATTATCTTATTTGACATCATGCTTATTAAATCTTAGAAGTTCTATTATTTGATCCTAGTGTTTTGCTCTCTTTATTTTTTTGTCTGTCTTTAGAAAATGTAACAATCTTAAGTGAAGTAGTAATTCCTTAGAAAGACTGACATGAGCAATTTAGTAGTACACCATTGAGAATCTAGCAGTAAAACAGGTAGATAATACAAAATGTTGTGTTAAGTGCCGTCGAGTCATAGGCAACTCATAGTGACCCTATAAATGAAAGTCTTTGACACTTGCGTGCGTGATTTTCATCCTTTCTCCAGGTTCATAGGGTTTCCAGAGGCAAGCTGTTTATGGAAGTAGATGACACTCCTGCTTCCAAGCTTGTTTCAACTGGGGAGCGCCACCAAACACTGTCCGCCATGGGTAACCGTTATCGCGTTTGACACATCATTGTCACAGTGTTCAGCTTCACAGAGACCACAAGTTACCTCTGTACAGCGAGTGGACACACCAGGGTTATACGACCTAGAAGACTGTTTGAACAAAAAGGAAAAAAAAAAAGAAAAACAGGCCTGAGGGCTGTGGATTAGAGTCACCCATGTTTGGCTTGGTAGCATCACTTTCGGTCCACTAAGCCAATTGGTCTCTTCTCTGTGTTGTTAAGTGCCGTCGAGTCGTAGGCAACTCATAAAAGTCCTCAACACTTACTTGCGTGACTTTCATCCTTTCTCCAGGTTCATAGGGTTTCTGAAGGCAAGCTATTTATGGAATAATAGAAAATAGCAAAGTTAATTAGTTGGCTGCTTATGATTTGTTGCTTTGTTATTGAGTACTCATGTTTGTTTTGTCATGCTATATTGTCATGCATTTTTATCAGAGTACAAATTGCAGATACAATCTTTTATGTCCTTCCAGTTTTCCTTTTAAGTTATTTCACTTTCTTGATAATGACTTACAGAATGCTGGTTTTCTTAGTCTCTTTCTCATAATTTTCTTTATCCTCTCCTCTCCTCCCTTTTAAGTAGTTCTCATTTAAAAATGACATTTAAAAAATAATAATGGTATCCTGTGTAGGGGGAGTGAATGAAATTAGAAATGACAATTAGGAAAAAAAAAAGAGGAGTGTATAGACTGAGAGAGCACAATTTAGTGAGAGCAATCTCATGACAAAATCTGTCATGTTCTGACACTTAAAGTTTCAGAAATTAGATACACTTTGGAGAGTTTACTCCATGATATGTTCCTTTTCATGTAAGTCTAGAGACTTAGGTGCACTTAATAGGTGCACTTAATCCAAGCTGTGGTCTTTACAATTACTTCCTGTGCATTAGATAGCTGGATAGTGACTAAAAATGATAGAAGAAGAATCGCTGCCTTTGATTTGTGCTGGAGAAGAATCTTGAACATACCACCAAGAAAACAAATAGGTATGTCTTGGAGAGGGTGAAATCAAGTTTCTCCTTGGAGGCTAGGATTTTGAAGCTCCATCTCACATACTTTGGCCATGTGGGCAGGAAGGACTGGTCCTTGGAGAAGGACATCATGCTTGGAAGGGTAGAGGTACAGTGCAGGAGAGGAAGACCCCAGATGAGATGGATTGATACAGTGAATGGGGCAGTAGGAATTGGTGTGTTGGAATCAGTGAGACTGGCTCAGGACAGGGCAAACTTCAGAGCTGTTGTACATAAGGTTGCTATGAAGGTAGTGCATCAAGTTTTGTAGCAAACAAAAGCATTTTTTTTATGATTAAGGATTTTTCAAAATGCAAATCATTCCCCCAGTAAAACAAACTGATAGCAACAGACCATAGAGACAGTCAGGCACTCGAGTATCATGGAAGGACAGCCTTCGCTGGCCACAGTTTAGGCAGCATTGAGTTTTGCACTACAGCATCAAAAAGCCAAAACAAAGGGAAGAAATACCAAAGTAAAAGTTAACAGAAGATGTCTAAAGGCAGCTTGAGAATGCAAAGCAAAGTGTCAGAATAGAATGTTCAAAGAATTGGAGTTGGAGAATGAAAAGAGGAGAACTTGCTCAGCACTTATAAAATTGAAATAATTGAAAAACAAATGCAAGCCTTGAGTTGCAATACTGAGAGATACTGTGGGCAAAATCTTGAATGGTCTGTGACACATCAAAAGAAAATGAAAGAAATAGAGTAGTCAGGGTACCAAAAAGAATTGGTTGACACTGAAAATTTTCAGAAATTATCTTAATAACAAGAGCCAGTGATAAAAAAAGAAGTTTAAGCTGCACTGAAGTTACTCACAACAAATAAGACTTCAGGAATCAGTGGGATCCCAATCAGCATATTTGAACTAAGAGATGCAGCCCTGTATGTGCTCATCCGCTGTTCTAAGAAATTTGAAGGGCAGCTGCTTGGCTGGTTGACTGGAAGAGATCCATATTTGTTCCCATTCCCAAGAAAGGTGATGCAACAGAGTGTAGAAATTATTAAAGTATCATTATAACATTTAGGAAAAATACTGCTCAAGAATATCCAAAAATAGCTAAAACAGTACATTGAGAGAATTGCCAGAGATTCAGACTGGGTTTAGAAGAGGAGTCTGTGTGGCACCAGAGATGTGATTGCTGATGTCAGATGGATTTTGGCTGAAATCAGAGAATATCAGAATGTCTGTGTTTCATTATGTAAAGGCATTTGACTGTGCAAATAATAACAGACTATGGCTAATATTGAGAAGAATGAGAATTCCAAGAAACAATTACCAGAACAAGGGAACACTTCATGATTTAAAATCAAGAAAGATGTGCATCGGAGTTGTATCCTTGCTCCATTCCAGTTCAGTCTGTATGCTAAGTAAATCATTTGAAAAGCTAGACTTCATAAATAATGTGGCATCAGGATTGATGGAAGACCTGTGTTATGCAGATGGTACAATCTTGTTTGCTGAAAGCGAGGAGGACATGAGGAACTTGCTGTATAGAAGATCAAAGATTGCAACCTTCGGTGTGGATTTCATCTCAGCATCAAGACTTTACCACTGAACTGATGAGCAACATCATAACAGATGGAGAAAAAAATTGAAATTTTAAATAATTTTATCTCACGTGGATTCATAATCAGCACCGTTGGTGCCAGCAGGGTATACCAGGCATTTTTGAATCTTTAAAATGATATAATTGCTTCTTAGCACTTTGGAGAGATAATAGTGGACTTGCCCAATGCACTGCATCTCCTGGTCACCCCTGCTGATTTTATGGCAAAATATATACTTAAAATACTACAATTTTCATAATCTCAGTGTATTCAATGATATTAATTATACTTACCATGATGTGCAGATAAAACCACTTTCTATTTCCAGGTTTTCACAGCCACCACCTTAGAAACTCAGTGCCCGGAAAGCATTCCTGTTTCCTCTTCCTCTATCCCTTAGTAAGCACTAGTAAACTTTGGTATTACATTGCAATACATTTCTGTATTTTAGGCATTTTAGATAAATGGCATTATACAATAGGGTTTTTTGTGTCTGATTTATTTTACTCAGTATAATGTTTTCTGGGTTTATTAATGTCATAACATGAATCAGTACTTCGTTTCTCTTTAGTGGCTGAGTTAATACTCTATTGTATGGATACAGTACATCTGTCTATTCATCTGTTGATGGATGCTTCAGTTGTTTTTCCCTTTTGGCTTCTGTGAATAACACTGTAGTGAATGTTGGTGTACTCCATACCGCAATGTCAGTTGGAGTTGCTGCTTTTCAAGATTTTGGGGTACATACCGAGTTGTGAATTGCTGGGTCATACTGTAATTCCATGTTTAACTCTTATTAAGTTTTAAACTAGTTTTTCTTTTGGGGTTGAGAGTATACACAGACACCAGTTCAAAAATTTCTGCATGTGCCTTTCAGTGCATGTACAGTTCAGTGTATGTTTTACTACATTCTTCAAAGCTACAACTTCTCAGATTGTTTGCTCTTAAGAGAATACGCCATCCCCTTTTCCTTATGAATCAGGGTGAAGTCTCTCTCAGGGAGGAGTGATAGGGAATGGCAAAGCACACACTGACAAAGGAGATTAATCAGAACTGGCTTTGACAAGCACTGTGGCAATGGGACAATTAAAACAGACTTTCGGGGGGGGGGGAAGAAGAACGAACTGGGGAGCAGGGTAGAGAAAATAGTGCCACAATGAATGAATGGAAACCCCAAGTCTCTGTAAATGTTCATTAAAATAAAATTTAATAATTTAAAAAAATTGTTTGCTCTGCATACAGATTGAATAGGTAGGTATAGAGTAAGGATACATCTCTGATACACATCTTTCTTAATTTTAAACCATTCACTGTTCTTTGCTTTGTTTGGACGACAGCCTCTTGGTGTAGGTATAGCTCTCATATGAGCACAATTAAATGTTCCAGGATTCCTATTCTTAGTGTCAGCAATAGCTTTTTATGATGATCAACACAGTCAAATGCCTTTGCATAGTCAGTAAACACAAATAGATATCTTTCTGGTATTCTCTGCTTACATCCAAGATCCACCTGACATCAGCAATGATGTATTTTTTGTGAAGCCCTTTAAATAGATGAGTTCGCAAGAAAATCTTGAGATTAATTTCTGCTGTTAGACTCATTTTCATAAATGAGACTTAGAAACAGTGGCTTGTTCAGGATATGGAATCTTAGAGATACTAATCATCTCTCTTAGGTCACACAGCATTTAAATAACTAGGATTCTTAGTCCCACTTGGAATTTCTCATCTTTTAAATTTTTTTATAATCATTCATATGCTTTGTTTCATTCATGTGTATTATTTTTCTATAATCCTTTTTCTGTATTGTGTCTTACATAATTAGTTCCAAGTCATACTACCTTCCATTTGATACCTACTTTTTAAAAAAAAATTTTATACTGATTTACAAAGTTCGTATACATTGTTTTTCATACCAGATCGTTCACATTTCCTTAACCCCCACCTCCCTCCACCCATCAAATTTTGCAACCCTATGATTATCACCCCCCACCCATCCTCACCCCTGTTCCCCTCCTCCTTGCATCCTTATACTCATTCTACAATAATGGTCTTATACAACATTTGTCCTTATGGGACTGAGTCAGTTCACTTAGCACAGTGCTCTGCAGTCCTTCCCCAGTTAGGTTGTAATTTACAAAATCATTGCTCCTGTGTGTTGTGTAGTATTGCATTGTGTGAATGTACCGTAATTTCTCAATCCACTCCATTGTGGTTGGACATTTGGACTGTTTCCATGTTTTTGCAATGGTGAGTAATGCTGTAATAGCTACTTTTTATCTTTGTTTTCACTGATCTAAATATTTTAAAGGGAAATACTGATTTCCATCCTAACAAGTAGAAATAGCCATTCATCAGAAATGATGTTTTTGAGATTCATAGATTAGAAATACTTCCTTTAATTTAAAAAAATATTGTTTGTTTATTAGCTTTAAAGTATTTCATTTACATTTTGCTAAATTTTCCATTTCTTAAGTTTGTAATTTGTAACTTCCTAATTGTTAAAGGATTGCCTGGCCATCAGGAAATTGAAGTTAAATATGTTGACTTTGGTAATACTGCAAAAGTAACACTTAAAGAAATGCGAAAAATAAAGGATGAGTTTCTGACTCCTCCAGAGAAGGTAATCTACTTATTATGAAATCAAGAATTGTATTATTAACACATATATGGGAGTATTTTTAAAAATTTTCCCCACAGAAATAGTTATCATTTGTGTAAATAGTTTCTGATAAGTGGAGATGTTATTATTTATAAAATAATATTTTATATTGTATGACTTGGCAAATAAAAAATTATAAACATTTTACACATGTATATTTATACATATTCACTGATGTTCAACTTGTATTATTTTGGGGTTAATATGTGCATAGTTTAATGTTACGATACGTCGAATGAGAAAGCTCATTACAGAAGCACTTTTACTTATAATTCCATTTATGTTAAAGTGTATGTAATACATGTGTACAACACAAAAGTGTAGAAGAGTATGTAAAAAATATTACCTTCCTTATCATGAGGGGTAAGGAGAGAGTAGATTCCAACTTCTGAAAGGTAAGATGGCTTAATATCTAACTTACACACTTACGTAGTATTTGTACTGTTACTGTGTTGTTACTCCTTTTGAAAAGTGGGTCAAGTATTGAAAAACTTGAAAATACAGATGAATAAAAAGGGAATTATTAATGTATACTCTGTTCCACAAAATCAATCACCATTGATCAATCCGTGCCTACTATCACCCCATCTTATCAGGTCCCCACTGGCTCCTTATTAATTCCTTAATACCTCTCCCACTTCCTCTCTGCTCACCATTCTCTGCTGTCTTAGTGATTTCCTCCTCCCCTGCACTCTGCCTCACTCCCCCAACACTCCCTTCTTTGGATCCCTGTCCATACCTTACTAGTTATCCTTCTATTTTAGAGTAATGATCATATGCAGTATTTGTTCTTCCGAGACTGACTTCGGTCATTTGGCATAACGCTCTCTAGATTCTCCCGAGTACACAGTTGTTTACAGTTGTATATTAATTTAATGACACACAGTGTATGTGAATTCTGTATGCAAATCAATATAAAGTAAATGGAGGAACAAAAATTATTCCAAACTCTTCAATATTTCCATTAACTATACTTCTAATAGTATATTTTTGTACCATCATAGTTATAACAATTGTGAATTTAGGCACTATATAGTCCTAGCATATGCTTTTCATATTTAACAGTGTATCATAGATATTTGTAATTATTTTGATGGATAAATGTTCTTTTGTTATATAAAAATCTGTTTCCAGTAATTTATATTTCTTTAAAAAAATCTGTAATGGATGCTTTTGTATATTTATTTAGTTATATATATTCTTCACAAAGTTTATTCTTAAATACACTTGTGAAAAATGTTATTTCAATCCTAAAATAGCTGGTATTAAGTTACTTAATTGATGGTAAATTTTTGTTTGAATCAGGCAGTTAAATGTAAGCTGGCCTATATTGAACCATGTAAAAAGACAATGCAGTGGTCCAAAGAAGCTAATGAAAAATTTGAAGAAAAAACTCAAGATAAATTTATGACATGTTCAGTCATTGGTAAGCTATTTCCATTTTTTAAAGTATGTGTTGTTATACAGCCACACATATTTTAAAGGTAAGAATAACGTACAATATTTATCATATTTTAGAATAAACTTAATGTGTAATCAGTAGCTGTAGTGTAAGATAGCATTTAATGACACTGTCTTTAAGTTGATTCCAACTCATGTTGACACCAACATCTGATTTCCAACACTAGAAAACCTGAACAGAGAGAGACTGGTCATTCTCCTCCCTTAGATTTGAACTGTCAAGCTTCTGTTAGCAGTTCAGCATTTGACCTTCTGTGCCTTCAGGTCTCATTTTTCGAGATTCAGGTACAGGAGAAGTATGCTTTTGGTGGATTCCAGCGTTCTCGACAGCCCATGATGCACAAATTCCAATTAAAGGTCACGTCACTCTAGACGTAGACTCCTAGTAGTTGGGAAGCTAGCAGTTGGCTTCTTTTCTTTCTTTTTTGTAGTTTTTCTGGAGTTTTTTTCTGACCTTGGTTACAGGAAGGTTAGGGGAGATGTGGGATATAACAGGCAAATAGATTTACTTAGTTTTTTGTTTCATTTTACTTAGATGGATTCAACTGTATAGGCTTTCAGCGTGTTTCGTAAAACATATGTCTGCATTTTTCAACAATTTGGAATTGAAACACCGTTGATCTATAATTTGTAACCCTATAAGTTCTAGAAATCAAAAGCTTTAGGGCAAAACCTGATTAGAGCTTCTGTATATAGTCTTCATTTCTTTTAAAATGAATATTCATACATTCCTTTTCGGGATGGACAGATATTTCAGTCATGCAGATTGGTTTTGAAGACATAGTTCTTATGAAAGGAATATGATTAAAGAATATGTATCTTTAATATATAGAATATATATGCCTGGCTTCTTTGAAATGAGTAATGAATTGAAGCCTTTTCAGTTGATGATCAACTTCTACACAGTGATTCTGAGCAGAATTTAAACTATATCGTTCTGCCTCCTGACTTTTTGTTTTACATTTAATGTTGTTTGTTATCCCCCCCCACGTCCTCACAGCTGCGCCTGAGTTTGAGCCCACTGTTACAGAGTTTTGTTTTTATTTTAATCCCTGTTCTAACTACCAGCTATCTTTGTTCGATTGTATGGATGGTGTTAACATTTACTTAGCTAAATTCTCTGTCACTCAGTCACATATAAGCATATTCCCTGTACTGTGTACCAAACAAATAAGTAAACAGGCACCTGCCATGGAGCCTTTACCATCAGTCAACTCCCAGTTTGGTTTAGAAATAGATCTGGTAAGTAATTAAGGAAATTAAAAATTAAGTATCATTTGTCCTGAAAATTTAAAAGACTGGAAAAAATTGCCACTGATGATTCTTTTTTGAAATTTTGTTTTGAAAGTTGTATCATTGTGATAAAAGCTTTCACACTTTCTCAAATCACTGGGCTAGATTCACTTGATTTACTTCCCTTTAGAGAGCTTGATTGAATTTCTTAAAACTATTTAAAAACATGACTGTTGCTTCAGTGAGGTTAAGATTTTTTTTTTATCTAAAAGCTTTTCAGTCTAGCTTTTGGTTCATTGTAGAACAAACCGCTGACAGTATCCTACAATACACTTTTTATTAATTTGTGTAAACTACAGACACTGCAGATTCTTTTACGTCTACAAAATAACTACTCTTGACCCTAAAAAAGGGAACTCTGTTGCCTTGTGACAAGAAGCTGTGCTGCAGTCCCAAAGACACATGGTTCAAATCTACCAACTGCTCCACATAGAGATGGGCTGCCTCCTCCCGTGTGACTTAACTGCCCCTGAAAACCCACTGGAGAGTCAGCTAAGGGTCAGTTCCAACTTGATGGTACTGACGATAAACACTTCTGTAAAAAAAGATGTGTCATGTATGCATCATAAAAGAATGCAAACTTCATTTTACAGATATATTTTGTTTTACTTAGTGTTTATTTTGCAACATTATTTCTTTTCCTAAACTAGTCTTGCGGTTTTGCAGAAATTCTGGAAGATAATGTGCTCGTGGTTGAGCTTTTTGATTGTATTGGCATTCCTGGAATGGCCCCTACCAGTATTAACGCCCAACTAGTAAAAGAGGGCTTCGCATCTTACAAAGAAGGGTAAGTATGTTTGTTCATTGTTCTTGTGTCCCAGAAGTATTTGATAATTTTTATATTCCTTATTTGGTTGAAGGATTTGAATGGTGGGGTGTTCTTGTAATTCTCCAAGGTAACTAATTATTAAATTTAATTGGAACTATTGTCCAAAGAAGCAAAAGAAAATCTCTTAAGCCAGAGTGGCTCATGGTGTATCTGGCTAAGTCATCTTCTCTGTGTCATTTCATCACTCAGGATGTTCTTATCTAGCCATGGCTTTAGTTATTTTATATATACATACAGGACTGTGTGTATAATCTCTTACAAATAATCGTGTTTATCTCTAGACACCATATTCAATAAGTTATTTTTAAACTAAAATTTTAAAGTTCATCAGTTTATGCTTTCCTGTTTTTCGAGGCCACCAGCTGCTCCACAAGAGAAGGATGGGCAGTCTCTTCCTGTGCGATTAACTGCCTCTGAAAAACAGCCAAAGGGGGCAGCTGGGAGTTGGTTCTGACTCTCCAGTACACAACAACAACAACAACAACATTGTTCAGTTACATAATCAGGAAGCATTTACATGGTTGTTTGCTGCACTGCCTCTCCCTTCAAGGAGCTTAGAGTATCTGTAGTAGAAAGGAGAGATGGATGGTCCATTGTTGTTGTAGGAAAAGTGCTGAGGTGAAAGGTAGTTGTAGTCCTATGGTGATCCTGGAAAGTTCACCACTGGAAGTTTTCTTTATGCTGAATTAATAATATAATTGGAAGTAAAGGTTTATACCATAGGGGAAAAAAATGAAGTGCTCAGGAATTAGGTCTGGTGGTTTAGAGGGTAGGGAATTGTCCTGTCTACCCAGAGGCATGAAATTTGAAGCCACCAGCCACTCCGTGGGAAAAAAAGAGACAGTCTCTTCCCCGGATTTATAGCCTCTGAAAAACTTTTGGATGGTCGGTCAGCCTTGAGTCAATCCTAGGCTGGCAGCATGTAACAACAGCAGCAGGAAATGACTAGGACACTACACATTGGAAGAACACTTGAGCACTATCCTAAAGGTTGGCAGTTCAAATCCACCTAGCACTACCATAAAAGAAGGGCCTGGCATCCTGTTGCTGTAAAGTTTCCACCTTCCCCATGCAGCACTTTGATCCATCACAAAGGAGGGTCACCAGAGATTGGAATTGATGCAGCAGCAGCAGGCTCAAGGCCTTTATACGTTGCATACATGCGTATATCTGTTAAATATGAGCACATAGAGGCATACATACTGTTTCAAACATTCCAAGCTTTCTCGTTTAGTGATCATTTTCAGCTTAAGTTCACAATAGTTAATAACAACTAAAGAAACACGCTCAGACTCACTGCTGTCACATGTGTTCCAACTCTTAGTGAACTTGCATTGAATTTCTGGAGCTGAAACACAGCAGGTACAGACTGCCCTATTTCTCTTTCAGAGTTGCTACTGGAGTTGAGGCCGTTTCATTAGCAGCACAACTCCTTATGGACTATGCCATCGATAACCATGTCATTTCTTAGCACACGGGGCCTGTTTGGGAAAGAGGAGTGCTGCTACTGCAGGGGAGCAAGCACAAGCTGGGTCACGTAGTCTCCCGGCTCATTAGTTTGCCCTACTTTGGTAGTGGCACACAGATTCTCTACTTCTATGCTTTGTCACTGACCCAGAGGCACCCGGTTCGACCCCACCAGCTGCTCTGTGGGAGGAAGAGGGACAGTCTTCTCTTATGTTATTTACTGCCTCAGACAACCCAGTGGAGGGCCAGCCATGAGTGGCTTTCAGCTCTGCAGTAATTAACAACATTCCTGTGGCTGGCAAGAGCTACAATGATGTGGTCATGAACCACAAAGCCATATCCCAGTAAACCCAATTAAATGTTTCCCCAGCTTAACTTTTCCTCAGATCCCCAAAATGCTGTAGCCTCCCCCAAACATGAAAGGATCATGTTGTTATTATATGTCCTGTCAAGTCGACTATGAAGAGTGAACCTATGAACCACAGATCTGGACCATGTCCTATCCTGTGCCATCCTCATCATCTCTGACACGGTCAAGCCCATTGCTGCAGTCACCGGGTCAATCCATCTGGTTAAGGGTCTTCCCCTCTTTCTCTGACCCTCCACCTTTCCAAGCATGTAGTCCGTTTCCACGGAATAGCCTCTTCTAGCAACATGCACAAACTATGTGACACAAAGTTTCACCACCCTTGCTTCCAAGGAGCATTCTAACTCTACTTTTCCCAAAACATATTAGTTTGTTCTTTTGGCAATCCATGCAGTATTCATTACTCTGCTCCAGTGTCTCAGTTTTCCTTCAGTCACCTTTATTCATTGTCCAATTCTCATATGCATAGCAAGTGATTGAAAAGACCATGGCCTGAATCAGGCATACCTTAGTTGTCAAACTAACATCATTGCTTCTCAGTAATTTGGAGAAGTTCTTTACTGCAGATTTGCCCAGTGCACTACATTCTCCTAGCTTCTGTTACCAAGGGTGTTGATTATGGATCCAGGCAAGGTAAAATAATTGATAGTTTCAGTTCTTTCTCTGTCATGTTGTTACTTATTGGTCCGGTAGTAAGGATTTTTGTCATCTTGATGTTGAGATCTTCTGAAACAAGCCTTTCAAGCCCTCTACACTTTATCAGGCAAGGTTATGCCATCTGCATAATGTAGGTTATTGATGAATCTTCCTCTAGTTCTGATGCCACATTCTTCTTCATAGAGTTTAGTTTCTCTAATGAGTAGCTCATTGAATAAGTGCGGAGAAAGGATGCAATCCTGACATGAACCTTTCCTGATACTAAACCATACAATATTCCTTTGCTCAGTTGGTACAACAGCTTCTTGGCTAGGTGTAGATTTCAAATGTATGAGTATAATTAAGCGTTCTGGGATTTCCATTCTTCAGTATTAGCCTTAGTTTCTTGTGTGTTCTATAGTCTTTGCATAGTTAATAAACCATAAATAGACATTTTCCTGGTATTCATTGCTTTCAACTAAGATCTGTCTGACATCGGCAGTAAGATCCCAATCCCAGATCACTGCTAGGCTCTGTATTTTATTTTTTTAATTAAGTTTTTATTGTGAAAAGGAAATTTGTATAACTTTGGGTAAAAGTGTACAAAGTAAGTTACTCTTCCTTTAAACAGTTTGTACATATCTCACAAACTTGATTGCAGTCCTCCTCATGTATCAGCACTCTCCCTGCTTTATCCCTGTGTTCCTCATTTCTCTTCATCCTTATCTGCTGCCCTTTCTTGTGTTCTGGGCCTTGTTTTCGGGAGAATATTGATCTTTTGGTCTTACCAGTTGATTTAAAGAATATATGCCTCCCTGGTGTTCCTGTTTGTTGTATAAATTTGTTTTTTACCTGAACATTTATCAGTGGGGTGACTTCAGTTCTAGGCTTGAGAGGCATCAAAGGGGCATCGTGTTTCTCAGCTCCTTCAGTCTCTATCACAGCAGTAAGTTGGGAGACCAGTGTCATCACTACATGTGTCTTCATCCTCGCAGCAGAACATGACAGTCCCTTGATTACTACCTGCCTTGATCATCTGAGGAATGAGAAGAGAGCACTGAGGAATCTCACAGCCTTGTCTCAGTTGTGCCCAGCATCTCCTGTACTTTATGAAATAAAAAACGTCATCCAAATAATCAGTCCCAACCCACCTCAAGCTTCCTTTTGACTGACTATGTCAAAGTTGGATGTTTTCTTTCCATTTCAGGAATGCCTAGCTACATACTGTTTTTGAATACTGTCAAGTCAGAACTGACCTATAGCTGACCCTCCAGTGGGTTTTCAGAGGCACTTAATTGCAGGGGAGGAGAATGTCCATCTGTCTGACACAGAATTGTGGTGGTGGTACCGTTCTTAATACTAAACCACCAAGGCTCCCTAGCTGTCTTTTACCCTTTTAAAATCTCAGCTAAAGCGTTGATCAGTGAAGCCTCTCAAAACTCCAGACGAAATGAGCTTTCGTTGGCTTCTGACTTTGTTCTATTCCATTTTCTAGTTTATTAATTGTATAGTAAGTAATTGCCATTTAGTATCACTGGTCTTTTGCTTGGGTCATACATAGTATGTGCTTAGGAAACAGTCAAGTGGAGAAAGTGAGTATACGGATCTGTAGCTCAGGAGGGAGATCTGGGTAGGTGGTACATATGGGAGTTAGCAACATGTAAATAATAATGAGATCATGCAAGTGAAAGAAATTATTCTTCATATCTTTCATCCGTCGTCTTTGATAAAGACAGTGCCCTGAGAATTACCATATAAGGGGAAGAAAAAAAAAGTACAGAGGTTGCAGAGCAGGACCATGAGAGGAAGAAAATAAAAAGAATCAGAGAGGCCATTCAGGAGCAGTTAGTGTACCACAACAAGATAAACAAGGCAGTTGCAAAATGAGCACAGGATATGGACACTTCACCAAAGAAGACATTCAGATGGCCCACAAACACATGAAAAAAATGTTCAAAATCCCTAGCTCTAAAAGAGCTGCAAATCAAAACAACTATGACATATTATCTCACCCCAGTGAGAATAGCAAAATTTAACAGAACAGCAAACATCAAATGCTGGTGAGGTTGCAGAGAAACTGGAACCCTTATTCACGGTTGGTGGGAATATAAAATGGTGTGACCACTCTGGAAGGCAGTATGGCACTTTCTCAAAAAGTTGCAAATAGAAGTACCATTTGACCCAGCAATTACACTACTGGCAGTATACCATAAAGAAACCGTAACTGCCACCCAAGCAGATACATGCACACCCGTGTTTATTGCAGCTTTGTTCACAATAGCAAAGAGCTAGAAACAACCCAAGTGCCCATCAACAAACAAATGGATAGATAAGCTCTGGTATAGTCACTCAATGGAATACTATGCTGCATTGAAAAACAACTCATGCAATATTATTCAAAATGGGTGACCCTGGAAGACATTATGCTGAGTGAAATATCTTAGTTAAAAAAGGACAAATATTGCATAGGGCCAGTGTTGTAAAATGGATTGGCATCAGGGTTGAGGGAAGACTGAGAAAGAGGGGATAAATGTATACTTCATTGAAACATGAGGGAGAGAACTGTTAAAAAGGGATATATGAGATATATGATTAGGTATTATTGTCATGACAGGAATCCAGAATGCAGGCAGCATAGTGGAGTGGACTTGGGGGGAGGGATTGTATAACAGAATTTTTCTTTTACTTTTCAAAGAGAAGAGCTAATTGAGGAGGGAGGAGTGGGCAGGGAGAAAAGTGCAACAATGGATGAATGGAAATCCTAACACTGTAAACTTTCATTAAAATTAATAAAAGGGGAGGGAAGAGCAGTTAGTGTTTGAGAAATCTGCCCAGTGGATTTAGCAACAAAAATTAATAGTTTTAAGTCTAAGCTTATTGTGAAATAATTTTTTCCTTTAACCTATAGAACTAAGAAATAACATCTAATTATCTGTAGTTAGAGGCTACAGTTATATTACTTATTAGCTATTTTAACATTTCACTCAGTAATTCTTCATGCCTTTTAGTAGCACTTGCTTTCTTGTATTATGAGCTGAAGGCCTCATAATTTTATAATTTTAAGAGAAATTTTCAAGCTATCAGATAAATCTTGTGTTCATTTGTGAGGACAAAATGTTCATAGGAGGGAAGAAGTACAATTATAAACTAAGTATCTAAAGCTGTTTTGAAAATAGCAAGTTTGGCTTTCAGCTTAGTCTGTAAAAGATTTTACTTTAGTTAAGATTTCTTTTTGTGAAATTGTTAAGCTCTTGATATCAAAACTGAGAAGCAGTGAATCTTACTCATCTCTAAACCTAAGAGATCCACATACTTTGCAGGTTAGTCTTTTTATAAACAATTTTTGTTTTGTTTTGTTTTTTAGGTATACCACCAAAGAGAGTTCCAAAAAGCCTACAGAAGTATGGGATCCTTCTCCAGAAGAAATTATTTCAAATGAAATAAACAGCTTAGATGCTGTATCTAATGCTGTATCTACAAAAGCACTACCTAATGAGAATTTACAATCATTTTTTAATAAAGAACTTCCAGTCCATATCTGTAATGTAATATCTCCTGAGAAGATTTATGTTCAGTGGTTACTAACAGAAAATTTGCTTAATAGGTATATAAATAACACATAATTCATGTGTTTTTATTCTTCTGTGTTTTGCTCCAAAGTTCTAAAAATTTTAAATGTAAAATTTTAAAAGTAGAAAAGTCATAGCCACTAAATGTTTAGCTGAAAGGGCAAAATACTGTTTTTATTAATGGTTTTCAGTAGATTCATTCATTCCATGAATAGTTACTGAGTTCCGATAATGTACTTATTTTTCCAAATACAGAGTACACAGTAGTTAAAACATAAACACACGTCTTTGCACTCACAAAGCTAAACTCCAGTGGAGGAAGCGGCAGTAAATAAGTACTTAGTGTACTGTATTCCAAGAGCAATGGAGTAAAATAAAGCTGTTGTGGAAGAAAATTATTTGAGAGAGGTCAAGAGGGACATCACTGAGTCAAGTGAGGTCAATTTTAACTGAAGGCCTTGGAAGACAGAATAAGCCATGTAGACTCTGGGGGAAGTTCATCCCCGAGAGAATTGGAAATATGCTGAGTGTGTTTAAGGTCGAACTAGATGTCTGGTGTGGCTCGAGGGAAACAGTAGAACACATGTACTCAGAGGATTCAGAAGGTGAAGTGATTTTTCTTTTTACACAGCTTAGAAGAAAAAATGATAGCTGTTTATGAAAACTCAAAGTGGAAACCTGTTAAATGGGAAAACGATATGCATTGTGCTGTTAGGATCCCCAATAAAAACAGGTGGCAAAGAGGCCAGATCCTCAGAATGGTGACAGACACAATGGTAGAGGTAAATGCAGTTACTGTGAAAATTAGCTTTTATTAGTTTATATATCTTTTAAAATGTTACCTTTCCATAAACTTGAAGAGCTGTTTTCTCCGTAGGTCTTGCTTTATGATGTGGGTATGGAACTAGTAGTGAATACTAACTGTTTAAGGGAACTTCAAGAGAATCTGAAGACAATGGGAAGATTATCTTTGGAGTGCTCGCTTGTTGATATAAGGTAGCTCCCCCCTCGTTATTGACTATGTTAACTAGTTCTCTTTTGAAAAAGTTCTTGTTTTAATTTTGTTAACGTGTTTCTAAAGTTTTCATGAAAGGAAGTATTTCATAAGCTTGAAATTGCATAGGAATGAAAATCCATAATCTGCATACGAGAATCCCCACTAGGATTCTGGGATGGAAGCACGGCACAGTTTGGAGTCTCCTAGAATCGTAAAATCACAATAGTGTGACTATTTCAGTATCCACCAGTTCTTCCTGGTGCAGTGAAACAAGCAGTCTCTCACAGTAGACATTTGTTGTGAAATCCAGCAGGGGGCTGCAGAGAGAGGAAGGAGGTTGGACAGTGAAGTATCTTGTCCTCTCCCAGCGTCTCTGGGTTTTGTAGCTTTAAGCACCTGTGTGAATGCCATATTCTGTATTCAGAGTCTCTTAAGGCCAGATGCCATGCATCACATTTGAGGCGTCGGATCTTCAGATCTGCATCAACTGTCTGCACTGTCTCAGGAGTGCAGTCAGTCAAAACTGAGGTGCTTTAGAGTGATAAGTTGGGTCCCAGGGCTTCATGCAGTATTATTTCATTAACTCGTTGCCGCACACTTTTAAATTGACGACTGTGTTTAGAAACCCATTTTGCCGTCATTGGCGGCAACATTTAACACAGTAAGTCTCTAGGCCTGATGATAACAATTTCTGATTAAAGCCGTAAGTCTCTTAGCCCCATAGAGCGTCATCTCATTGGGATAGGCTGAGAGTGTTTCTCCAGGTCCTCTCTTAGCCTTAACTATAGGACACATACCTTGCTGACTTCTCACATTCTAGGGTAAGCTACATTCTATATTTCTAACAATACACTCTTTAACACTAACACACACTTGCTTACTCATTTTTAACATTCTAAACCTTAGCATTTGTTGTGAAATTTTGTATTGGTTTGCATGCAGTCATTCATATATGTGGTGGTTTCATTTACCACTGTGTTTCTGCACAGATATTCCTATGCATTGTGTTCTATGCCATTAATTACTGTTGACCTAGGCCTTTTGCTGTCCTGTCTCATTGCATCTTCTCTGTTGCTTCTCCCTCCCACCCACCCTCTTACCTCTGCTATCCTAGTGATTTACCCCTTTCCCTTGTTCCTGCTCCCCCTTCTTTTTCTTTTCCCTTTTGAACATTTTTACACATCTTGCTCTGTTAATTGTCCTGTTTTCACAATAGTGGTCTTAAACACAATTAACTTGAATTCTTCACTCAGCATGATTCTCTCTAGACTCTCCCATGGTGTATAGTGTTTCACAAAGTTGTTGTTCCTCAGTGCTGCATAGTATTACATTGTACGAATGTGCCACAGTTTCTCAGTCCATCTTTTGTTGACTGGCATTTGAGCTATTTGCATTTTCTTCCTGTCTTGAATAATGCTGCTATGAACATAGGTGTACATACTTCCTTTTCTATCTCTGTTCTGGTTTCTTTGGTATATATTCCTAGCAGTGGGATAGCTGGGTTACATGAGATTTCTGTGTTCAGCTTTTTGAGGAAATGCCAAACTGCTTTGCGTAATGGTTGCATCATTTTATAGTCCCTCCAGCAAGCAGTGTGTAAGTGTTCCAGTCTCTCCACATCCTCTCCATCATTTATTGTTTGCCGGGTTCTTAAACTTTGCTGCTGCTGCTGCCGCCTTCGGCTCTATCTTCATTTGATGCTTACTAATCACTCAAGATTTTTCCCATAGAATCTCTCAATATTGTAATTCAAGGCTTAACTTTTTTTTTTTTTTAGTTCTTTGAACCTGAGACATGCCAAACGAGTTCTTCCATTTTTATTTTCTAACTCCAGGTCTTACTCCCATTCCATTATTATACTTGATCTTCTTGAACTGCCCTTTGAAATCTTCTTTTTAGATAGGCATCTCTTCCCTTTAATTTGTCTTCCCAAATGTCTAATGCAATATTCAGAGTCTCTTCTGATACTAATTGGATCTCTTCTTCCTTATCTTTATAACAACCTTTTCTTGTCTTCATAAATGGTATCTTTGATGTCACCCACAGTTCATCTGGTCTTTGATCATTAATGCTCAGTGCCTCAAACCTGTACCTGAGATGATTTTTAAATTTAGGTGGGATAGACCCAAGGTCATATTTTGGTTCCTATGACTTGTTTTCATTTTCTTCAGCTTCATTTGAAATTTGTGCATGAGTAATTGATGGTTTGTTCCATAGTCAGCACTTGGTCTTGTTTTGACCGCTGCTAATGTGCTTCTCTCCTTCTACACCATGGGACCGGGGACATTATAGCCAGTGTTGGATGGATCTTGGCTGAAAGCAAGGAATACCAGAGGAATGTCTATCTCTGTTTAATTGACTGTGCAGAGGTATTTGACTGTGTGGATCACAACAAACTGGCTAACTCCGAGAAGAATGGGAATCCCAGAATATTTGATCGTGCCTAATGCAAAACCTGTATGTGTACCAGAAGGCAGCCATCAGAACAGAGCAAGGAAACAGTGCATGGTTCAAAATCAGGAAAGATGTACACCAAGGATGAATCCTATCTCTAGACTTTCAATCTATATGCAGAGCTGATCATCTGGGAGGCTGGGCTCTATGAGGAGGAATGTGGCATCATGACTGGAGGAAGACTTGTCAACAACCTGCATTATGCAGATGACCCAACCTTCCTTGCTGCAACTGAGGAGGACCTGAGGAGTTTGCTATAGAAGGTCAAGGACTGCAGCCTTCAATGTGGGTTGAAGCTCAACATTAAGAAAACAAAGATTTTCACCACTGGGCCAGTTGACAGCAGCATGATCGATGGAGAAGAGATTGAGATTGTTAACAATTTCAGCTTGATTGGTTCCATAATCAACACTCTTGATACCAAAGATGAACCACATTGGGAAAATCTACTGTCAGGTACCTCTCCACAGCAGTAATGTCAGTCTAGGGACTGCGGTGCGCCTGATCCAGGCCATGGTCTTTGCAATTACATGCTGTACATCAGAGAGCTGGACAATGAATAAGAATGATAGAGAAAGAATTGATACCTTTGAGTTGTGGTGCTGGAGAAGAGTATTGAATATACCATGTACAGCTAAGAGAACAATCAGATCTGTCCTGGAGAAGGTGAAACCATGCTGCTCTTTAGAGGCTAAGATTTTCAAATTCTGTCTGACACACGTGGGGCATGTTGCATAGAGGGAACAGTCCTTCCTTGGAGAGGAACATTATACGTGGAAAGGTGGAGGGACAGCACCCTTCTCAGTCCTCAAAAAAAGGAAAACCCTGGATGGGAAGCGTTGACTCAGGGACTGGGATCATGGGGCTAGGTGTGTCAGAGACTATGAAATTGGCTCAGAAGAGAGCACAGTTCAGAATTGTTGTACATAGGGTCACTATGAGTCAGAGTCAACTCAGTGGCACCTAACAATAACAACAGCTATTCTTCAGCTATTCTTTCCATGTAAGTAGTCAATCTGATTACTGTGCAGTCCATCCAGTGAAGCCTATGCATATGGACGCCATTGGTGTTTCTCTAAAAAGCTGTTCATTGTGAATAACACATTGACTGTACAAAATTCCATCATTCAGTCGCCAGGCTTATTTCTCTCCCCAAAGTTAAATGGCCTTTCCTCTGCAAATTTAAAAATTTCATTAACTATTGTGACATAGTTTTTAGTATACTACACACTAGATATGATTTCACACATGAGAAACAGCTGAACAATAATCGAGGCCTAAAACCACAGTGGAGGATAATTTCCTGCTGTTCTAATGTGCTTCCTTGGGTACGTGGCTGGTCCTCGGAGAAGGAAGGACATCATGCTTGGAAGGGTGGAGGGACACAGGAGAAAAGGACTCTGCATGAGATGGATTGATACTGTAACTGGGGTAAGGGGCAATGCAGGTTAAATGTGTTGGAGTCAGTGAGTCTGGCTCAGGACGGCAGGCTTGCGAGCTGTTGTACGTTGGGTCACTGTGAGTCGCTGGCACATAACAGCAACAACAAAGTGATCCAGTTATGCTGACAGTTTATCATTTGTAAGCTTCACCTTTACTCTCTAACAAATCTTTCTAGACAGCAGCGTTCTATCTCGCAAAAGACATACAGAATAAATGTAATTTGTACGTTTTTTCCAGTATGCTACAAAGGAGAATATTAAAAAAATAAGTGTTTAAAAATCTAAAAGTTTCAAGTGACCTTTTCAACATTACATAAAAATTTTCATGAACATACATACAGCAGAGAAACATTAAAACACTATCCAGTTCTTGGAGTTAGTAATATTTTAAGCTTCTCAGCTAATAAGAACACTGGAATTTTTTTCATGCTTCTGCTTTCCAACCTAGTAATAATACTTGTATTTAATGTTAATTTTAATTATGAAAATTTTATCCAAATGTTTTTATTAGATTATCACTTGTTTTTGTGGTAACAGTTATCATAGAATAATCACATTTTTTGAAGATCATTGTGTTTGTTTGCCAAAAATATTCAACACTGACTTTTAGTCTTATAGTTAAAAGATTTGTTTTAAATGCAAGAATTTTTCTTTTACTTTTCCAAGAGAGTGATGTACTAGGGTGAAAGTTTGGGGAGGGGAGAAAAGTGCAACAATGAATGAATGGAAATCCAAAGTCTCTGTAAATTTTTACTGAAATTAATAATAAATGTAAATAAAATTTTTAAAAAAGATTTTAGATTTCACAGAGACAAAATGGAAAGTAAGACAGAAAAGAAAAATCACTTCTTTGTCTTAAACTGTAACAATGTAGGTAGATAAATGCAGTTAGTACCTGCTTTTCATGTAGTGATGATCATAATCATTCTTACAGACAAGATCTGGGTTTCTGTCTGTTTTGTGTCATCTGTGAATAAAGGTAGTTTTACTTCTTCCTTTTCAACTTCTTGTTGTTAGGGGCCGTCCAGTTTTCTCTGAATCATAGCTACACTCTGACTCACACACCTGAGCCTTGCTCGTTCCTGCCCACGGTGTGGATCTCCCACGTGCTTAGGCCCACTACTGTCGTCAGTCCATCTCACCTAGTCTTCCCCTGTCACAGACCTTTCCCAGCATGATGTTTTTACGAGGACTGTCCACTTCTGACAGCATGCCTAAGTAAGTGGAACAAAGTTTCACCATCCTTGCCTTTGAGGTTACACTTCCTCCAAGATAGATTTGTTCACACTTTCAGCAGTCCGTGGAATATTCAGTTTTCTTTGCCAACACACCAATTTAAAGGCATCAGTTCTTCAGTGTTTTCTCATTCAGTGTCCAGTTTCCAGGTGCATAGGAAGCAACTTTAAAAACCATGACTTGTCTCAGGCACACCTTTGTCTTTAAACTGACATCCTTTCTCCTTCGCTCTTTAAGGAGGGCCCTGACAGCAGATTTCCCCAGTGCGACATGCCTTTTCATTTTTTGGTTATTGTTGTCATTAATGCTGATTGTTGAATGTTGAGTCAAGTACACGACAATAGTTGACATCTTCAGTCTATTCTCCGCTCATCATGATGTTGTCTGTCGGCCCAGACAAGCTGTTTTCTTGATGTGGAGATTTCCAATTTAGATACCTTTTGTTTCCCTTTCTTGTCTTGTTGCTCTACCTAGATTTTCCAGTAGAGAATTAATTTTTTGGGGGGGATAAAAAGTCCATAAGGAGTGCAGTGCGAGTCCAAAGGCCACCCCTTTCTTGTGGCCTGAATTCACCAGCAGCTTCTTGAGCGAAAGATAGACAGTCACCTGTGTGACTTCCAGGCTGGGAAATCCATCAGTGGTTCAGCTGGGAGTGGATTTGGAGATTTCCAGTTCAATATGAATAGAGGTGGTCTTACCAGGCTTTTTCATCTCATTCCTGTTCTCACAGTCTTTCTCCTTTGAGCATCATGTTGGCTGTTGGTTTTACACTTATGGCCCTATTATAGTAAGGGTCTTCCTCTTTCTCCCTTTTGGCTTAGAGATGGTAACTGGATGTTGGATATTTTTAACTCATGCCTTTTCTGCTCCAGTTGAGATGTATGTGATTCTTTACCTTTTGTTGTTGTTGTTAATGTGATGAATTATTAGTTTATTTTCTAATCTTTAATCATGCTTGCATTCCTGGTATAAATCCCACTTTTTTAATATAATCTATGAAATCCTGTTGACTAGAATTTTATTGACTTTTGTTAATGTCTGCTTCCATGAGATGTATTGTTCTGTAATGTTCTTTGTTAGTGATGGCTTTACCTGACCTTGGTATCAGGATTATACTGGCTTCGTAGAATGAATTAGGGAGTACTCCTTCCTTCTCTGGAATAGTTTGAGTAGAATAATGTCAGCCCTTCTCTGAATTTTTGATTGGATTCTCCCGTGAAGTCATCTGGGCCTGGACTTTATTTGGTTCAGAGTTTTGGGAAACTATTTCTAATGACCATTCAGATTCTTCTTTTGTTATGGATCTGTGCACAAAAGTTTTTAATTTTAAAAAGTCTAGTTTTCCTATAGTTTTTTCTTTTCTTTTTCTTTTAATTAAGCATTTAATGCCATATTTAAGAATACATGTTGCCAAAACCAACATTTTAAAGATGTACTCCTAAGTTTTCTCATAAGAATGTTAATGGTTAAAATTTTAATATTCAGGTCACTGATTCATTTTGCGTTAAACTTAACTCAGGCTCATTGCTGTGAAGTCAGAACGGATTCACAGCTGACCTTCTAGTGGCTCTTTGGAGGCTGCAAATCACATGAAAGGAGATTGCCCATGTTTTTCCTACAGAGAAGCTAGTGAACTGCCTGTCTTTGGGTTGGCCGTGCAGTTCTTTACCACTAAACCACCAGGTTGGCCAAGTCCACCGTCAGGAGCAATGAAGTCATTCTGAAGTCTGAGGTGTGCCTTGGCCTTGGTCTTTTCAGTCACTTGCTGTGCATCTGAGGGCTAGCTGGGCAATGAGTAAGGATGACAGAAGAATAGATACTTTTGAGTTATCGTGTTGGAGAAGAGAACTGAATATCCCATGGACTGCCAAAAGAACAAACAGACTTGTCTTGGGGAAAGTGCAGCCAGAGTGCTCCTTGGAGGCAGAGATGGCAAAGCTTTGTCTCATGTACTTAGGGCTTGTTATTAGAGAAGGCTCTTCCGTGGAAAAGGACATAGTACTTGGAAAGTTGGAGAGAGTCCGTGAAAGAGGAAGATCCTTCATGAAATGGATTGACACCGTGAATGCAGCAATGAGCTCAAGTGTTTTAGAAATGAAACACATGATACAGGGTTCAAATTTGTTGTTCATAGGGTTGCTCTGAGCTGCACTCAACAGCTCTTAACAATAATGGTGGTTGCCACACTGTTGTTTTGTACATTCGAGTCAGAATGGACTCATAGTTGACCCTCCAGTGCGTTTTCAGGAACAAGTTAATTGGTAGCTCTGGTGACCTACTGGCAAGAAGCTGCGCTGCAGTCCCAAAGGCATGAGGTTCAAATCCACCAGATGCTCTGCCGGAGAAGGAGGGGCATTCTCCTCCTGTGCCAGTGGGATCCGACTTGACGATACACAACAAGGAAGAAAGAAAAAGGCAGTTAATTACACAGGAGGAACATGCCCATCTTTCTCCCTTAAGCAGGTGGTGGATTCAAACTGAATATTTGAGTTGGCAGCACAATTCCACCAGAGGTCCCGGACACAGTAGATACAAATTAATAATGTAGAGCAGAACAGAAAAGGATGACTTCAACTGAAGGAAATTGTGAAAATACAAACCATGTTTAAATTGATTTCTCACCAGTTTGTTCAAATATATTAAAGGTTATGAAATGTAAATATGCTCATATATGTCTTGTAAAACAAGATATATCGTTTTTATGTGCTTGGCTTTTGTTGGGTTTTATTGCTTTGTTTTTTGTTTTTCTAATAGACCAACTGGTGGGAGCGACAAGTGGACAGCAACAGCTTGTGACTGTCTCTCCTTATACCTGACGGGAGCTGTGGCGACTATCATCATCCAGGTGCGGTAAACCAACACAACAGATACGGACTGGCTGTGTAATTGATAAGTTGGAATTCATGCCATAGATTTCCTTTCTTACTGAGAAAATAGCGGCAGACTGTGGATTTTTTTAAACCTCTGTTGGTCTTATCTCAAGGTATACTGACTTTTCAACAGCACATGTTCCATAGATGATGGTATGAATGAATTAAACATTTTTAAAGTAATATAATCTGCACACTTAGAGAAGCATAGCATATGTATATTAGAATGCATTTCCAAAGCTTCAGTATTTTTATATTTTTAATAAAATGCATAGAGTGATGCTTCCAGTTCAGTCATATTGTGTGAAAAATGTATGTGTGTGCACCAAAAGAGAGACATCTTTAGAAAGAGTCTGTACTTCCTTAACTTTCTCCTGATGTAATATTATATTCATTACTAATTACACTACTTCTGGATAGCTTAATTTTTTTTTCACGTTTTTCTTTTTTGCATAATGTTTTTTATTTTCATTGTGATTTTAACAAAAGTTTACAGAAAAGGTGGATTTTCATTCCTTTATTGTTGCAGAATCTCCCCCCCAACTCTCCCTCCCCCTCTCTCAGCACATTATTTCTATGAGCAGCAGAATCTATTTTGTATCATTTTTTTGGTAGGGCGTAGGACACACCTTAGAACATATATTTTGTGTCCTAAAGCTTCCACAGAATTTAAGATAATAGAGAAATTTCTAAAACTGGTGTATTTAGTTTAATTTTGTTTCGTTTTATTCTAGGATGAAGTTTTCCTTGTTACTCTTTTAAATGGATAGTACATTGCACTATAATAGGTTTTCCTGATGTACTACGCAAAGCAACTATATGTCACACTGTCCTCTCTGCTGTTTTTTCCCGTGTGTGTGTGTGTGTGTGTGTGTGTGTGTGTGTGTGTGAGTGTGTGTGTAAGTTTACAAGAAGATTTCCTTGTCCTGTCTCATATTTATTCTACTCTTTAATCATTTTAGGAAAGCAAAACAATGTGGCCCTTACCTGTGAAAATTTTCTGCAGAAATGAAAAAGGGGAGTGTGTTGATGTTTCTACATACCTGATTAAAAAGGGTTTGGCTTTGAGAGAAAAGAGGTACAGATTTTTTTTTCCTCCTGAAGAGGGCATTTGCATGCGATTTGCCTATTTCTTTTTTTTTTCTTTTTTTTTTTTTGCCTATTTCTTCTTATCTGTCATTGTGTCTTCAGATAATATTTGTATTTTGTTTACTCTTAAGGTAACCCTCAGGAATTCAGAAACAAATCTCTTCAGACTTGTTCATTTCTTCATTCATGCTTATAAGCACTTGCTTTTATAGTTTCCCTTTTCCTTTGCATTTCCACCCTAAAGCAAAGGAATTCTGCAGTGTGTATCAGATATGAAAGCATTCCTGGGTGGCATAAATAATTAAACATTGCACTAGTAGCTGAAGGCCTCCAAGGCAGGCCTGGTGATTTACTTCTGAAAGTCTTGAAAACCCCTGTAGAACATATTTCTGCTCTGCACACAGACTGCTGTGCGTCAGAATTGACGAGATGGCAGCCCACAGCAACAATATACAATGTTGAGCCCAGTCACATCCTTTACTTAGATGTAAATGTCTAAGTTTTGTGTTGGAAGTTCTGATAGGTGTATAACAAAATGTATTTATAATGAAGCAAAGTAATTGAGCATTATTTGCATTTCATGTTCTTTTCACATAGTAAGTTTGAGGTTCAGGTACCTTGATCCAAGAAGAGAAGGATCAGGATATCCTGTCTTCCCAGTTTGCTCTTCTTCAAGCTACAGAGATCTGTTGAATTTGCAGTCCCGTGCATCAAGGAGCTCCTTTGTACCATGCATGGCCAGATCGTGTCAGATGGAGTTGCCTTTAAATTATGTTTTACCTTACTTGGTTCAGGACCCTGGTAGAAAAAGAAAAAGATAAAAACCAAGAAAATGGGACATAACATAACAGATATTTACTGGCTCTGTTGTCTAGGTATTAACATAAGCTGCATTACCAAAAACTTAGCCTGAAACATGTTTAACACTACTTGTCTCTCTTTTGGTTTATTGTTTTTAGACCAAAAGCAAAAAAAAAAAAAAGCTACAAATGGTAATGCTACTTAGACGCCTGCATCGGCAGTGCTGCTTGCTGCTTTTATAGCTCTAAAAATGACTTAGGACTAGGATGGGTGGGAGGGTATGAGAAAGAATTACATAGTTATTTCATTAATGTTTCCTTTCCTTTTAAAGGGAAAATAGAGTAGAACAGAAGTATCTATTTTAGTGCTAAAACATAACTAGTATTAATAGTTCTGTCTGTGATTCCTGTGTTAGAGAAAGCATTTTTTAAAGAGAATAACGTGAAATTTAAAATATAAAATGAGGAAATGGTGGCTTCTGGGGAGAACGGGACTTCGGGTGGTGGAGGTGGCACATAGGATACATTATAACCTTGTACAGTGAGGTGAAGCAAATAAGAGAAGAGAGATTCGGTTTTAACATCCAAAAACAACTTGAAAGATTGACCCATCCTGGTTCCTCCTACTTCAACTTGAACCCCTTTGAGGTTCTTCAAATAGATCCTGAAGTGACAGATGAGGAAATAAAAGAGAGATTTCGGCAGTTACCTATCTTGGTGCATCCCATGAAAATCAAGATGATGCTGACTGAGCACAAGATGCCCTTGAAGCTGTGGACAAAGCTTACAAGTTGCTACTGGATCAGGAACAAAAGAAGAGGGCCCTGGATGTCACTCAGGCAGGAAAAGAATAGGTGGAACACACTGTAAAAGAGCGAAAAAAGCAATGAAAGAAGGAAGGGAAACCTGCGAATGTGGAAGATGATCCTGAGCTGTTCAGACAGGCAGTGTACAAACAGACCACGAACCCCTTTGCCGAACTGGAAAATTAAAAGAACGAGACGTGAAAGAGATGCATGAAAGGAAGCAACAAAGGGAAGAAGAGATTGAAGCCCAAGAAAAAGCCAATCGAGAGAGGGAGTGGCAGAAAAACTTTGAGCAAAGTCAAGATGGTTGTGTGATTAGCTGGCAGAATTTCCAAGCAAACAGAAAAGGCAAGAAAGAGAAGAAAAATCGAGCTTTCCTGAGAGCACCAAAAGGAAAAATGGAGCAGCTTGAGTGACCCTTGGGGGCACAGTCACAGAACCTTCCTCCAGCTGCCTCCCTCCACTTCTGCTTTGAAGGACTCATTCTTTCCTCCCATCTCTACTCCAACATAGAGTAGTAGTATTTGCTTTTTTCCCCCCATTTTTTCCATTTTGTTTAAATACAGTTTAATATCAAATCTGAGCAATTATTTTTGTACATTGAAATGAGGGGCTTGGTTTTAAAAATTAAGTCCTTCCCCACTCCCCACCCTACAAGCAACCAGTATAGGAAGTTGCCACCTTGGTGCACCTACTGTTCCCACAGCCTGTAACTTAGTATTTTGTATGTCACTGAATTGGTGATGGTTGGAAACTTTGTGTATCGTTTATGGAAATCATCCAGTTATTTTGTAGTGACTTCTGAGACCAGCTGGGAACACTTAGGAAATGCTTTTTCTTCAGCTGATTGCTTCTGAGGGTGGTATCCTTTGAAGCTCCAGCTCAGACAGGGAAGGAAGGCAGTGCAGGCAGGCAGAGCAGTCACTCTTGACCCGCTGCCCCATGGTGTTTGGCTGCCCCATGGTGTTTGGCTCGTACCCTCCTAATCTGCCTGACAAATCAACATGGCATGAGGCTCCAAGGCACCCAGACCTGTCCATTTTCCAAAGAGCTAGCTGTCGGCTCTGCAGTCCATTGTGTCCCAGCCTGTCTGTATTCGTTAGTAAAATTCTGTATATGTAATAAGTTTTTATATAAAAAATTAGAATGAAAATTACTTATTACTGCCAACACCTAATACTTTAATATCATATTTTAAAGGATTCATTATCTTTGCTTCATAATGGTTGATAACTAGTCACACGCCCCTGCTGTATCTGTGGATTAAATTGGAATCATTTTGAGGGTGTTATATTTACCCGTAGTGTCTTGTTTATTGTCCAGTACTTGACATATACTTACATGAAAATTTAAAGAGTAACTAGCATGTAAACATGAAATAGCAAGTTTAAGTATTAAGTAAAACTATAGTCCTTTTTCACAGCAGTATCATTCTTCATTTGAAATAATTTTCATTTTAACTTACATTATGTTCATTTTTATGTAGCAGATTAGACTAGAGCAAATACTTTAAATTTCAAGTGTATTTGATTTTTTTTTATGTTTGTGATTTTTAACAAAATCCTATTTCAAAGTAGGAGGTGAGATAAATTCTGGAGAAACAGGCACCAGGTTGCAAAATGCCTGTGGAAGCCGGAACACAGGGAGGGTAGTTCAGCTTGGCGTTCTGGGTTAGGCTGGGAAAGACAGGCTGAGGTTGAAGAGGCACTGACTTCAGGGCACAGAGGAGACTCTTCTGCAGAAAAGGACAGCCGAGTATTCTGGTTGATGTGGAGGTAGATGATGGAGGGGAGCTGTACAGAGAGAAAACCAGGGATGGGGACTATTTTCCAGGGTAGAGGATGCTGTGTCAAGGTAGCTCTGGGCGGGTCTAAAGTGTATTTGAAGGTTTTTATATTTTCCCCAGATTTTACTTTCTGTTTGTTTGTTTCCCCAGAATTTTATGTTTGCTTATATTTAGATATGTTGTTTTTTTTTCCCCCCAGATGTGACACAATTAATAAATTAGATTGTAGTAATTCATTCTCTGAGAAGTCTCTTGAAATCTCCTTGGAAAATGAAGGTTCAGTAGATACTGATTGTATTAAAATTACCTGTGGCTCTGACAGAAAAGCTCTTGATAGCCGTGAGCACAAGGTGTCTGAAATCAAGGAGAAAATTCTAGAACCAAGAACCACTGGATGCTATAAACCACCAACTATTCCTAACATGCAGATATTTGAGGCAGTTGTCAGCTGCATTGGTGATGATGGAACTATCTTTGTGGTACCAAAATTATCAGGTAAGATCTTCAATGTTGTGTAGGTTTGGTAAGTAAAAATACTAACTCCCAGCACTAGTTCTCTAAAATGGCATGGATTGAAATAATGTGGAGCCTTTAACTTTTTTAAATCCAGTTTTCTTAGGGTTGTTGTGAGAAATGAAATAGCACGTTTACATTTTACACTTAGATCTATGTAGTGTTAGGTTTTTTAGGTAACTAGTCCTACAGTGGATATAATCCTGTCACTCACGGTGTTGTACTTCAAGATGGATCTAGAAATTACTTTTTTTACTATAAAGGCAACCCCATTTTTCCTTGTCTTTTCATCTCCAAAGTAATATATCATA